GAACATGTTTTGTGGGAGAAGAACAGGCGCTCTGAACAGCAGCATCGTGTGGTTAACATTCCGTTTAACACAAGAACAAACAGCCTGAAGTCTGGCAATAGACTGTTTTTTGGATACACCATTAAAATAGCACTCAGTCTTTACCACATAAATTGCCAAGGTGCTGAATAGCACAGAACTAGTTGCTCCATAGTGTTAGGGAGAACTACAGTATGTAATGTGTGGTCACGAGATATATAGCACTTGGTTTCTTCAGAAACAACCTGACAGTCCTTTCCTAATACAGGATGTCATATTAACTCGTTAGTCTGTTCTGTATGCTTGCTTTACTAATACCTCTAAAGTGTATTAGAGGTGTGAGTGCCTGTTAACTTGCAGGTCAAGTGGTTCTAACAAGTCTGATCTGTCGTGTAGTAAGCTGTGTGTTGTGGAGCTGTGGTTAGGGCACGTGTAAAAACGTGTGCTAGAAGCCGCAGAGCTCTGAACCACACCCGCCTGTTAAAACAGAGCTATAGTGAAGCTAGTTGACGTGCTGTTGTGCCATCACGATGGACCTGGACTGCAGTGCTCCTGGATAGATCTACTCCAGGCCAATGAGAACTCCAGTGCAGTCATGTGCTGGCTTGCACTGCTGCTCTGTGAGTAGATCATGGAGTGGTACATTGCTAGGTTTGGGATGAAATGCCTGCAGTGTCAGGAAAACAGTTTTTTTGGGGGGGCGCTTTCTTTTGGGCTGCATGCAGGCAAAAAGCACACTAATCATATCGCATATGGGGGATAAAAACCTGTGTTCTTGGTAAATGCCAAATGAACCAGCGTTGGGGTCATATAACAATCCCCCAAAAGATTGCTGCTTTTACAGCTTCCGACTGTTGTACAAGGTGAAAACATCTATGGTCCTAATTTACCGTGGCCTAATTGTTCGCAGAAAAATGAGCAAAGATGATTTAGTGCATTGGGAACATCAGGCCCTTCACGTTGTTGGTGGGGCTCAGAGATAAAAATTACAGGATATTATGTAGGCAAATCTGATCCAGGCTTGTTGCTTTACTAACCAGATTCAGATATGATGGATGACACAAGTCCTCACTGGATATTGAAAAGATTCTTTCAGATAATCTGCCACGTGACGGGTGGCATGTTGTAATCCATTTCTTTAATCGAAATCTCGGGGGTAAATGGGCTATTGACATGTGATTACAGGGGGTTATTTTTAGTATTCAGATTATTTCTGCACTAGATGTTAGTGTACTATGTAGGAATGTTGTTCCTTTTATTTGAATTTCTTTATGCTCTAGAAACCAAATCCTATAGCTCTGTGGCAGTGCTTTGTTAGTGTGCGATGGGCCTATTGCCTATAGACTGGACTTTTCATTAACACACATGCTGGTAGGGGGAGCTCAATCTTGATCATTGTAATCAGCCAGAGAGTATTAATGTGTTGTTGACATGGTAGGCTAATTTATATTCCTGGGTAAGTAGGGCTCTTTTTGAAGACTTCACTCAGACGAGTGTGGTCCTTGATCTGATGGCTGATTGAGTCATGTGCTTTTTGCCTACAATTACAAAATGATGAGACGATGTAAATCATATGCTCTTGACTCCTCACCCTCACCAGGTCTCATATCGGAAATCCAGTCGTATTTTTCACCTTTTAGTATTTTGAGTAAGACTTGTCGCTGTTTCCTAGTTGCCAATATAATTAGCAGATTTGGGGGGGGGGCATTTGATTATGCTCGATTGTCAAATTGCCAGTTCAGGTTTGATTGTAAAGAAAGATATTTTGGTTCTTGCTACTATTATTTGGAAGACCTGAACACCTTTTGTGTGTGTGGAAAGTACTGCTAAAATGAAATACCTGCCAAACACCTGCTCCTTTGAAAGTGTGCAGCTCTCTGCCCAGACCCCTTAGGGGAGAATCAGCGGCTGGGATAGAGTCACTAATCTGCACATTCCAGGAATCGCACTGTTTCCATAAACACTCACAGTCGGGAAAGGGTCACTCACTGGAGAAAAAAAAGATTAGTTATTTCTGTATAACCGGAGAGCTAAATGTCCTTAGCTACAGGATGGTCTTCTTTTCCAAAGTTTAAACTAGAGTATCTATTTAAACAGGAACAAGTATAGGTGTATTCCATTATGAAAAATATTTTGGCTGTGGAGCCTTCTTCGTGACACTTAAATAGTTTCTAGAGACAAGGTTGTTTTAATGATTTGAAGAACAAGATGTCAAAGTCTAAAACAATCCACTGTTTGTTCGGTGAAGTAGGGTTTGTATGTTCCAGTGGAAATTTTACAGTTGAAAGGCCATTTTCAGGAGCTGGCACTAATTCTGCTTTTCCAGGTATTAATGCACCACCGTAGTGATTCATCATCTTTCTCGTCAAAATATGGTACGGTTTCTGCATTAGCAGAAGAACATTGAGGCAGTGGTTTCTTTTCTGCTGTTTGAGACACTGGTAAGTAAAGTTGTGGCTTCATTTTCTGTTTTTTTTTAAATAAAGTGCACTGCAGGTGAGGAGAGCTCAAAATGTCTGTTGCTGCACAGTTTCCACAGTCCTGAACGGGGCTGTGGGTTTTGGTGCTCTGATGGACAACGGGCCTTTTTTCTTCCTGCGATAGCTTGATGATCTTTTCTCTGGAGGTCAGATAATGCACAGAGGCAGCCGTCCCTGACAATAGCTGCTGGTATTGTGTGCAGTGGTTTGCTGGCTGTCACACGTGCTGTAGCTGGCACCTCCGTGCCTGCCCCTGGACTGGTACAGTGTTATAAAGAGGGATTGTTTTCGCTCTGCAGATGAAGAAAGGCCTGTCTTTGTGTTGCCTGGCCCCTCTGAGGCACTTGGGACTGGCGGTGGGGGGGGTTGTTTATTAAATCTGTTCGTTGGCATCTTTGATTGCACAAATACGGCCAGATGCTGAACTCGGCATTTGCCAGAGTCTGTGTAAAGATGTGTATTGTTTCTTTTATCAAGTGATCTTGCACGTCTTGTAGACCTTCTTCCACAATCCCCATGGGAGCATAGAGGTTGAAAATGACTGTGCTGTGGTCTGTCTTGCCCGTTTCTTGGCTTATTTTCAAGGGTCTCATCTGGTCCCCCGAAAAAAAAAGTCCAGTAGTTCAAATTCAAAAGGGAGGCTGGATATTTTGTGCCGGAGTGTGGAATGGGAGAACTGGGGAGGCAGCGGCTTCTTTTCCGCTGTGCGAGACACTGGGAAGGAATGTTCTGGCTTTATTTTCTGTTTTTTAAATAGTGCACTGCAGGTGAGCAGAGCTTAAAATGTCTGTTGCTGTGCAGTTTCCACAATTTTGATTTGGACTGTGGACTTGAAAGGCTCTGAGGGGGACTGTAAATCTAACACCTGACTCTACCTAACTGGCAGTAATAATGCCACTTGTTCCTCACATGATGTGAAACCTTCTCCATCCTCCCATTTGACACGACAAGACCCATCGCTGATAGTCGGCATGAAAAGCAGTTTTTCTTTCTCCTCCTTGTGGTGACCAGAGAGCAGGAATAGCTGCTTGTTGTTGTGCTAGGGGCTTGTCTACACAGCAGTCATGAAGTCTGTAACCGAGAAGAGGCAATTTGAGCCGTCTGGCTCACTTGTTTAAGGAATCCCTTGTCATAGTAACTAAAACAGGGTCTGACTCCACTGTCTCATGCTGTTTGTGTGGGGAAACCCAGTCATTTTACCAGTGCCTGTACTCTGGTATGTTGTAAGTCACCCAACCAAGAGAAAATGGAGAATTACTTATTAGCCTCTGAATTCTATGCCTGCTTTCCCAGTGGTGTTTTCCATAGCTCTTTCCAAATCTGATACAGGTTTAAAATCTATATTTGGTTACCAGTTATTCTTTCCTTGTTGTAGTTCATTAGTTCAAAGGCTGTGAGGTGTTCGTATAAGACAGTTATTGAAATCTCCTCCACTGGTAAACTTTTCAGTTATGAAGAACTGGAAGATTAAGGAACTTTTAACAAACACTTTTCCTCCTCCTGCTAGACCCGGTCTATACTATGCTATCTCTGAACTCAACTAACACCGCTTTCCCTTAATTCTGTGAAAAGGCAATGGAACAAGTTTGTTTTTGTGGAAGGTGGTGAGGAGAAAGACCCTTAAACAGTGCATTAGATTTCTTTGAAGGTGCAGCAGACTGTTGTGATGTTTGATTCTGTACTGAATTTCTTTTGTTAATTGTTTAGTCTTATCCTGGAATTGTCTGCCGAGCCTGTGACTAAAGCAGATTACAAAATTCCTTTAACTTCTTCCATCTTAACCTTCCTCATAATCCTTTTGCGTCTTTGCCTTGTTTTAAAGATGCTGCTTTGAGAGGCATCATGGCCTCTGAAGCCGTGTGTAATCGGGAAAATTACAGGAGCATGAATATGGTGAAGCAGTCCTTAATCCTCTAGTTATGCAAGAGTTGCAACAAGGGAAGAACAGTTTCAAACTGGATCAGCTGATGAGGGCTAGGTTAATGCTTCTCCTGCTAGAGGAAAAGTAATCTATTCTTAAAATGTTTCTACAGTAACTTAATTTAATGAAGACAGGCGCACACCAGGGTGTTTTTATTTAACAGGGTTTTTTCTAAAAAGATCCACATGTGGTTGTTTGGGGTTACATCTGAATTTAAAAAGCCCCTATATAGCAGGAAGTTAGTGAAGATGTTTGTGTGCTTGTCCCATTTTAATCTACGGTAGTTTAGTTTCCTGCGCTCAGCATTGTGTGCCTGTTTTGAGTTAGTCTTGCTCCTCGGTTTTATAGGGGAGACAAGGTGGCATGGGACTGACCGGTTAAGCCGTGTTACTGTATGAATATGTGCCCCGTACATGAAAATAACTTATTTGAGGATAATTTCTTTATGGATTTTGTTGCCTTGAATAAAACTCGTGCTTGCACTATTCTGCCATTTTTCGAAGCAAGTTGGGCTTGAGTCTTGGCGGAGTGGGCTCTCTCCGTTGACCCTCTTCCTCCGCTCCCTCTCTCCCGGTGAGCAGAACTGCCCGAAAACTGGACGGACACGAGGGAGACGCTGCTGGAGGGCATGGCTTTCAACCTGAAGTACCTGGGCATGACGCTGGTGGAGCAGCCCAAGGGTGAGGAGCTGTCTGCTGCGGCAGTCAAGAGGATCGTCGCCACGGTGAGCCGCCACCCAGTCTGAAAGGAGTGATGCTGTAGGTTGTGTTGAGGGCTTGTCGATGATACTCTCACTGGCCTGGCAGGCTGCAGTATCAAGCCACCACTCATCTGTTTTTGTCTGGCTCCCTCATGTAAATGATGAATTTGAAGCTGAAATGTGCTGTCAAGGAGCCTGAGTAAACTCTCTGAAATCAAAACCATTCTTGCACAGGATACGTCAAGCCTGATGCTTACAACGTGAGAAGTTACGGGAGAAGAGAAGCCAGTGGGGTGCTGTTAGTTAAGCAACATGAGGGTATCCGTTCATCTGTTTTGATGAAAGATCCTAAAGTTTTGGCTGCTGCAGTCCTACCAACTGGGCTGTTTGATTCAGGAGCTCCACAGTGTTGTGTGGAGTTGTCTCCAATTTCTTTCCTCTCGCCCCCATGTGTGCTGTTCTGTTTGAAGGTTGAACCTCATGTTTTAAGATGGCGTTTGTACCTTTTCTTACATTCAATCTTAATTGTGATTTTAAAGTTTATTCTTTTCCCAGAAGCCTTTTAACGGTTACACTGTGGCATGAGATCAGCTGGTGTAGGAAAGGAGCTTGATGGGGTTTTTTTTAAGGCTGTTTGGCTCACTGCTCATGCAAATGCTGCAGTCTGCTGCTGTTCTTGGAAAGCGAGGGGGGAAAAACCTGTAAAATTGAATGTGATGGCATGCATTAGTTTAATATTTGGAATTCCACCTCTGTTATTTTTGTTATCATGCATGCTTCAGCAGTCAGCCTTGAGCCTGCAGGGTGTGGGTCTGTGGCCGCACGCCTGTTGAAGCCTGCAGTCATGCTGGGAACCTGCAGGGGGAAAGGGAAGGCACAGTGGGTGGGGTGACGCCTGGCACAGTTTTCATGCATCAAACCACGAGTGATGGCACAGTCCTGTCTATCGAGAAGGTGCCAGGATGTAGATCGTGTTGCACGGAGCATTGCAGACAGGTGAGCCAGCGCCTTGCGGCTGGTGGAGAGAACAATGGCGTCTGTGAGCAACCATTCAGCGAATTGTGGAAGTTATACTTGGCTGCCAGACAGAAAAATATCCAATAGGTGTTCGCGCTGTTGTTGAGCCATTGCATGCCAACATTGACTTTTAAAGAGCCAAAATGAAAAGATTGTGGTGGAGGGTGCGGAGCCTAAAAACTTTAGGTTGATGATCATCACCTAAATTTAAAATGTGGTGGTTATAGTTTTTGGGTGTGTGTAAATAATGGGCTCTCAATGTTACAAATGTTTCTTGTTCTGGTTATGGCTCTAATAAACCTGCCTCAACGGACTACACATTGTTTATGCTGACTGTTCTCTCAACATCCTTATAGGCCAAGGCCAGTGGAAAGAAACTCCAGAAGGTGACGCTGAAAGTGTCTCCCAGGGGGATTGTACTGTACGACAGCTCCACCAATCAGCTCATTGAGAACATCTCCATATACAGGTAGGCGGGTTTAAAGACATTGGCGCCACACGCAGCTGGCGCGTCTGGAGGAACACGAGAGGTCCTAGGTAACTGTGAACTGTGGTTTCTGCTCCAGCAGCGAAGCAGCTGACATGGAATGACACTGTACGGAACGATTTGGAGTAACCCCATCCCGAGCAATAATCATTGAATTCTAAATTTGAGAAATTGTGTTCATCTGTATATTGTGGGAAGCCCTGCATTACTTTTCACCCATGAAAAAGCGGAGAAAGGGATTCTTCACACCCGATGTGTCGCAGAGGTGAAACAGTGTTCTGAAGAGATTCAGGGGCAGAAATGCATTAAGCCTCCATACAATGGGGCTTTGCTAGAACATGACCAAAAATTTCCTGAGCGAGGGGCGTTCTGAACGGCTCGATCCATGAAATGGGTTCCACCAGGCTCCAGATCTCCGCTCTCCCGTGGAATTCCCGGCCAGCTGTGTGCCGCTTCCAGCGCGCACTCCCCTCACGCCCACGCCACCTGCGTGACCCCCTCACGACATCCACCCAGTGCAAGTTAACAACCGGTGGCGATGCTGAAAGCAAAAAAAGTAGGAGAATGAGAGAGAGATTCGAGGCAGGCTGGGCCTTGCTCAGGCTTGATACGTGTGTGTGGGCTTAATTAATCCCATCTGTGCAACTGGAAGTTGTTAGCATTAAACACCATCGATGCCTTAACGTGCACTCACTCATAAAATGTATTTATTATTCGTTTATTTTCTGATTTTCAGCCTGCTTTTTCCCCTTTTATTTTCATTTGATAGTATGTACTGCTCAAGGCTGTACATCATACATTTTTCTTCATGACACGTGAGATGAGCAATCTTAATTTAGTGTTATCAGATGTACGTGCTTTTGAATTTTCTTTATTATTGAATTAATTCATTTGTAAATGCGTGAAACAGTAGGGTTTAACAGGACTTTGTGCTGCCTTTTTCCTCCGTCCCTAACTTTTCATAAGCTCTTCGGTTTCTCCAGTGTGCTTTGTTGGAGGAATGTGCGCTGTAGTCCCTGCATTGGAGGGGTGCTTACTGTGTATCGAATGACGTTTGTGTACGTGTCACAACTGTACAGGCTCACTAAATGCTTTCAGCTTTGTGAATGAAAGTCTTGGTTTTGCAGATCTGCACTAAAATTGTCACCTGTGGAAAGGGGAATGGGCTTAGTGCTATTGTGAAAAACTACTACAGTCCTAGAAACCATAAGAGCACCCTTTGGACAGCCCCCTTCATCCCCGAGCTGAGTGTGCAAAAAGCACAGCTCGGTGAACTTGCCTGTCCTCATGCTGTATTAATCTAAGGCCTCTTTTTATTTTTGGGGAGTCAACATTTTTATAACCTTTTGAATACAGGCTGTCTCTGCAGGGCTGTGGGTTAAATGACAGTCCTCCAGAGCACAGTCAGCAGTCTACAATTACAGCCTCTAATGGCTTTGCCAGGCAGCCTGACCAGGCATGTTTCTGTCGCAGTAATGGGAAATGCACAGAGCTCCGGTTACTAATGGGCGCTGTCATTCACAACCACCTGAGGGCAGGTCTGCTGCTGTTGGCCATGTGCTTGGCAGACAGTTGGCATTGGTGTGGGACAGGCAAGAAAAAAATTCTTACAGGAACAGGTAGAATTTTGCAGTAGGTTTAATACTGAAATCTATTCTGATTACGCTCACAAATCCCATCTGTTCTGCTCCCCTACTGGGTGGGGTAGTGAGTATGCGATTGAAAGTACAAGAAATGCAGAGGTTTGGATGTTCTGTGTGATGTGATGGGGTAGCACCTGAGGGTCATTAAACAGTTTAATTTTCAGAAATAGACGTAGGATTTTCATTTTTGGTGGGGGGAAAAAATGAAACTGCAATTCAGACTTGAGTTGTAAGTGGCAATATTGAATATTGGTTTAAATGGTGGAGACGGATCTTGAAAGAGTTTTCTATGGAATGGGAATAATCCAAAATGTAAAAAGGTTGAACCTTTCCCTGTCGGTTCCTCCCCCTCCTCAGGATATCTTACTGCACAGCTGACAAGATGCACGACAAGGTGTTTGCCTACATTGCACAGAGCCAGCAGAACGAGACCCTGGAGTGCCACGCCTTCCTGTGCAGCAAGAGGAAAGTGGTGAGTGTCTGTACCCCGGGGTCCTGGATGTACGTTGCAGTTTTGCAGCCGTCCCGGCGGCAGTAATCTTCTGCAAGCAAAGGCTGGTCTGGCCCAGCATCACCGCGATGATTTACCTTAATTACAGTAGTGGGTGGTGCCAAAATACCATTCAATTCGGACAAATTGCAGAAAACTTTGAAATTGAATTGCATTTCAAGTTTTTTTTCCCTACCCCTTTATCTGTTTTTCTGTAGAGTCTTCGCCATGAATTTTTCATCTGTTAGCAGATCCCGCAAAGCTTACAGTGATGCTTTCTTTCAATATATCGTATTGAAGCACTGACGAGCTCCAGTTTATTAGAAGGCCCAGATGGGTGTTGAAAAAGATCCGTTCTCTGTTCTCCACATTGGTTGTAGTCATTCCCTTTCAGGCAGGAAAAAAAGTAATTGGCTTCGTCCTTGTATTCCACCCTTCCTGGGTTATGAAGAGCAAGGCCAGGGACAAACTGAAGGGCTCACTCCTACAGTGTATAAGCAACGGTCCTCTGAAGTGGTTCTCCTAAAATCTGTAAATGGAAGCCTTAGATGCCTTGTTGCTGAAGCTGCCCTGAAGACATTGCACATCCTTGCACGCCCCTTTATCTAAATGAGCTGTCTGATGGCGCCACAACAAATTCTCAACTGGGTGTGTCCCCTTCTAACCAGAAGGGCTGTTTCTTCCTCGGTGGCTGTCGAGGGGGGAGGTCTGGCTCTCGGGGGTTCGTTTCAGGAATCGCCACACCCATCTCCTTCCTTCCTCCTGTCAGTTCTTTGTTCTGGAAGCCCTGCTTCCTAATAAACAGCCTTTTAGCATTGGGGTTGTGTGCCTGTGCTGAGGGATGCAGAGCAGAAATACTAAATAACTACATCAAATTTACCAGTACAGCTGCTTTAGCAGGCAGTTCTAGTAATTTGAATTTATTCGGCTTTAAAAGTTTTTGGATTACTGTTCATAGTCTATATTCACACTAGGATCTTGATAGCATGAAGTCCCTAGACCTGAGCACTGTATCTGTTTCTGTAGGTAAGAGTGTTCTCCCTGAGTTTTGCATGAACCAGGTTTTCTACCTTTGCCTGTTGTCTAGGTGGGTAGAACTGGGTTACAGGACCCAAAAGCAGGCAACGGACGTGCCAGTTTAATAATGATCAATAATCCTTAAACTTACATAACATGTTCATGGACACTCCATTCAAAGTGCTTTACAGGTAATGGGGACTCCCCCACCACCTCCCTCCCCCACCACCAGTGTGTAGCCCCAGCTGGATGATGCAACAGCAGCCAAAATGCACCAGTATGCTCCCCACACACCAGCACTCATCAGCTATCATGGCTGTTTAATGACCACAGAGAGTCAGGACCCTGGTTTTGTCTCATCTGAAGGATGGCACCACTTATTTACAGTATAGTGTTGCCGTCCCTATACTGGGGCATGAGAACCCACACAGGGCTCCCTACTGGTCCTGCTAACAGTTCTTCCAGCAGCAGCCTCAGCTTTCCCAGGAGGTCTCCCATCCAGGTGCTGGCCAGGCTCCCACCTGCTGAGTGCCAGTGGTGAGTTGCAGGGGTGATGCCCCAGCTGGCGATCGGCGAGACCCTTTCCTGAGCGTGTTTCTGCTTTGTTGCAGGCCCAGGCGGTCACGCTCACTGTGGCTCAGGCCTTCCGAGTGGCGTTTGAGTTCTGGCAGGCTGCCAAAGAAGGTAGGCCCGGTCGCCTTGGCGACGCAAGAGCTACAGCTTGGCCACGTGCCGCCCGGATTCTTGCACGACATTCGGGCTCCCCTTGCTCTGAAGAAATACAACACCCACCCTTTGCTCTTGTGAGAATTGAATATGACTTGTTGCAGATAGGAGGTCACTGGAACACAGGCTGAAGGCCTCCACCGTATTGCCTAAATCATGAGGTTTTTGGACCTGGAAGTGAAAAACGGCTTCTGGAGATGAATGCCTTGTTGGCAGTTTCACATCTGCTAATGTTAACTCTTGTTAGGTGGAAAATAGTTCTACCTGCGTGTGCCAATTTTTTCGGAAACCTGAATGAACATGGAAATTGCAGTATTGCATTTTGGTTTTGAGTACTGGCACCTTTTTTACATTCCAGACTAAATCCAAATTTGTGTTTGCTGTCTCGTGCTGTTAGCTTAGCTTAAATGGTTTAAATGAAGTTAAACTTTTCATTAGTTGGCCCATAATACAAATGGGGATACAAGGGAAAATAACTCCTTTTTAAATCTTTTTTTTTTTCCAGTGATTCTAGAGATCAACCCAGGTGTTAACGCAGTTGGTACAGCTGATGTCAGAAAGTGCCTGCCTGGTTAGGGCCCAGGTGTGTTACTGTGGGTCAGGATAGAAACAAATAAAATTCCTTGAAGGCAATATTTTTTTACTAGATTCTGAAAAAGGGTCTTGCTGCCTTCTGGCACGCTAGTGTGGTCATTGTACACATCTCTTTAAACCATGATGCTGTATAAACTGGTTTGGGTAGAATTTTGTAGTATTTTTATAAAGGGTATGACCCTCCTTTCCCAGAAGGAAAACCCAAACTAAACTGATGTTGCGTTACTCCACAGAGTGCTGTGTAATTATCTTTTGCAACATGCAATCATGCAGTTTTGAGTTCCAGTCCTCTTAAGTCAGCAAAACATCTGCATTTCATTTGGTCTTTTAAGATTTTTCCTCTGTGGTTTGCGAAAGCCCTCCCCTACCTGATGTCCATTTCGTCTCCTGCTGCCATACCAGATATAATCTTACAAGACGAGCAAATTGAACAGTTACCCGTGTCGGAACCAGCGCTCCTCTACACTCCCAATCTGTCCGCAAAGGCTTTAGGTTGGAACAGCCTGGGACTGGAATCGGAGTTCCTGTTCAGTGCCGGTGGACTGAGACATAAGCTGTACATTCAGTCCTTGATACGAGTTGAATCTGGTTGAAGAGAGCTGACCAGCGAATGATGTCAGCTCTCCCATCCGTATATGTGGGCAGGGGAGATCCTTCTGTGTTTCTCAAGTGTTTGTAGCTGTTTCCTGTGGTGCTGGATTTTTTTTTTCCCCCCAACGGCAGCGATCTTGTTGGGATGAGACAACTATTTGTCTTCAAGAAAACGGCACCTTGTCTCGTCCTTTTATGTATTAAGGGTGATTAATTCTAGCACAAACTAGTTTGAGTCCCAGTCTGTAACGTCGCTGAAAAGTGCTTTAAGGAGCTTCAGTTTTAGAGTCGATTTGACCCACAGTCATATGCACATGGACACAAACACAACCACCAGCCCCACTCCTCCTCCTACAGCTGCTGAGTATGAATGGCAGCCCCTTGGGAATCTAGCAATGTGACAAGTTAAAGAATCCCTTTCTAGGTACCACTGACAGCTCTGCGCTACTCAGATTGCTATAACTTTAATTTTTCTCTCACTGCTGCTTAATAAAGAGTATCAGATTGACAGGGTATTTTTAAATCCTTGGCTGAGCAAACACAGCTCATGTTTTCTGGTTTTTATTCAAGATCAAAAGCAGAGCATCTGCGGTACTTTCTTAAAGTACCTGCGATCAAGACGAACTAGTTTTTTTCTTCCCACTTCTCGGCTGTGCATTGCCTTTCCTACATGATTATTAAAACTGCAAAGTAGGAAGGTGTTTTTTTTTTAGGCTTATCAGATCCACAAGGATATAACTCACCGGCAGTACTGAGACTGAACAATAACAGGCTAAGTCTGTAGTTTCTGCTGGTTCATTAGATTTTAGGTACTAGCACTGCATCAACTTTTAAAGTCAGACGGCAATTACTACCCCCCCACCCCGCCCCTCCAAAGATGAAACAAGGAGAAAACATCCTTCAGGCATCTGGTTGTTTCGCTGTAGCGCAGAAACATCAAAAAGCTTTCAGGGTTTTATTTTTTCAGAGGATACTTTGTTACGGGAGAAGCCCTTGAGGAGGGAGAAGTTGGGAATCAAAAGGACTCCTCTTTTTTTTTATTATTCAAAGGCAGTGTCAGCCTGAGTTACCTGCTCTTTGCACATGTTCCATTGTCTAAAGATCAAAAGAAAGCCTTACCTGGTTCTCTCTAGTCGCGACCTCGATATCTAAGCCCTACAAATGTGCAGAAGTACGGTTCAGTTCCCCCCCTGGGGCAGCTGCAAGTCTTTTCAATGCAGTTGGATTTGAGTGGGCGATTCTCTGCCTCCATCTGTTTAATTCAGACTCAATCACACAGGTTTGGGAAGCCTTAAAGGGCCCTAGCCCTGGTTAAAAACCCCAAATGGGACCATACAATTTAAAGTTTCTTTGTTCAAGACATCAGGTCTGTTCTGTTTAAAATGTGATCTTCCTGAGTGTACAATGCGTTATTTTAGATCGTTTCTGATCATTCCTTCCATTTGTACAGTCCTTTTCAACCTGAAAGATCTCAAAAAAAGAAACGTCCCCTTGTTTTACATATAGGAGGGGACCCACTTGGCACCAGGCACCAGCTGCCAGATGGAGTGAACTGAGCTGTTAAACTCTGACTGAGAATAAGTGTGGTTTCTGTCACAGCTGTCTGTGAAGGTGTAGAATTAAGTCTCCCAGACAGCCTAGGGTTAGAATCAGCCTTCCTGTTCAATACCAGTGGGCTACAACCTGAATATAACGACCAAGTAGTCAGGCCCTTGGTTGAGTGCCACTTCCAAAGCGTGCTATCGCCTACAGCGTAGTGTCCCTGGTTAAAGGGAGCATGGACAATAAGTGAGAAGAGAATAGTTTGTTTTTAAATGGATGCACTAACTAAGTGATGCAGGCCCCTTGCTCACATTTTCAGTCAAATCCCTAACCCACTAGTAGTGGCTTTTTGATGGTTCACAAAAACTCTCTTGCTTTTAAACTTCTTAAGCAAAGCGGTTAAAGGTGTAGAGATCTGATTTCTTCTTTTTATCTTTTCTGACATTAATGGAAGCATGATGTATAAACTATCAACTATGATTGTGTTTAACAGCCCTGAAGAATGTTTAAATATGCATAACGTTACCTTAGGCATGAGTGTGGTTCTAAATTTGGAATTGTGCCACCTTCTCCTGTATAATTATTGAGTGACCTTGCTGGAATCTTCCACTCGCAGGTTATGAACACTTGCACTTTGACCAGTGTCCTCCAGAAAACAATTCTTGTCGGATTTTGTTGGTAATGGGGAAACAATAGGGTTATAAAAGTGAAAAAATTTGTGGGAGTATACATGTCCCCCAGCCATGTTTTTGAAGCAGATAGCCTTGTTTCTTTCAAGAAATGGCTATGTTCATGGATCAATTAATATCCTTTATTTATATAGCACCTTTTTAAACATAGCTTTTCAAAGCTCAAAAATTACAGTATTAATTACCAAACAAGTTTGATTGGGCCCAATGGACTTTTTTGTAACATTGTTCTTATGCAGATTTTCATGGATTCTCTTTTGCTAATGATTTTATTTAGCTTTATTTTTATACAAGTGTTCTAGTTCACAGATGGAGCTGGTCAGGCCTTGCTGGTCATTGGGCACTACGATATAGCCTACCTGCTCCAAGCTTCCTGATCAGTGGTATTGAACCAGCTTGTACGGTTCCATCTCATGCATTTATACTCTCGTTTGCGCCTCCTGATTCTGGTTTCCTCCAGGGGTGAAGTTATCTTCACCTGGTACTGACTCGTAGTTCCTTCCGTTTCCTTCCTTCCGCAGAGAAAGAGAAGCGAGTGAAATCGGGGTCTGATGGCGAGGTGGCCAGCAGCTCTCAGTCAGAAAGCTCCGCTAGCCTGGCGAGTCTGAAAGGAGGGGGTAAGCGTGGTGTCTGGGTCTCAACGCACTGCTGGTTGTGAGCGGTTTCTTGCCTTTCTCTCTGTGAGGAACCGAACGTTCGTGAAGTTGAAATGAAACTTTAGAAAAAGCATTGGGGTGACTTCATTATCACCCTGTTAGTTTAGGAATGATTTAGAAAGGAAACGCTTCTGTAAAGTCACGTCTTTTTTTTTTTTGTCTAATTGGGTTTCATAAGACTTCAAAATGAGTAATTTGACCCTGTGGTGACACTTGGTGGTATCAAGAATGTGAACGTGCTGCCTGCTGTGCTACAGCCTGATGCACGCTTTTCCCAGTCAGACCCAGTTGAGAATCAGGCCTTACAGACAGGTGGTAAGATCCAGTAGTGACTTTAAGGGTAAGGAGTATCTTGAACTACTCCAAAGTTCATTGCCAAAAACTGGCAGCTTTCACATGAATCCAGACAATTGCCAAAGGTAGTTATGTTTTTGCAGGAAAAGAAAAACAGCCTAACCACTTGATATAATGCATTCTTGAATCATAGCCCAGAAGTAATGCTAGTTCCTGAGACACTAGTGTCTTATTATAGCAAGTCGTCTCCTGGGAAAGTGGCAGACTAGCACAGGAGGTGAGTAACTCAATAAAATTGCAAAACCATTGTTATTAACCTGGGATCAATGCAGGGTCTAATGAACACCTGGCTGGCATGTCCTTGGTTAATGACTGTTTTGTAAATGGTCTTCAGTGCAACCCAAAGCGGGCTGCAATGCAAACCAGTAAGTAATGTGGCACTCTAGGGCTGGAGATACGTACCCAACTTGCTATAATATGGTTACAGTTGTTTTGGAAATGTGCATCGGGCCTTTAACATCAGGAGGAAAAAACTAGATCAAGGGTTTTTGACACCTCCTTGGCTTCACTTCTGTAATGGTGTTAAAATTTTGTTTGGAGCTGGTGTGTGCAAAGCAGACTGTAAACAAATTATTTTGACCTAAAAAAATATCTTAGGATCTTGATGATGATTTGGATGTCATTAGTTATAGAAAAATTATGGTACAGCAGGAGTTATTCATGCAAGCATTACTGTAGAGCCAAAATAGTTTCATCCAGTGAGCAAAGCTCTCTTCTGGTTTTCTAACAAACCAGCTAAATTACCCCTTGCTTGGGTTTTATTGCTCTTTGTACTTGTGCTCTCAGTGCAGTGGCTGACTGCTGACTGTTTTCTGCTGTGTTCGTGCTGTAACAGTACATCTTTGCTGCACCTGGCAGAGTTCCCCATTTTTCTTAACTCAGCAGCAGAAAAATGGAGGCAGACCTGTCTTTTCAGTAAGAAGTGGGCAGTTATGACACTTTTTACTGAAAGACACATGACAAGTGAGAATCTTTCAGTGGCACCCCTTTACCAAAAATATCCTGTTGGTTGATTTGTAGCTTGTGAATGTGTATTTCAAAATAATTACTTGTCACTTTGCTCAGTAGCTGCTGCTGCATGATATGATCAACAAAGGCATAATTTTACAAAGATAGATTTAAGGGGTGATTTCAGACACTTCTGTTCTAATCTGGAGTCTGGTGCACAGACTTCTGGGACAAGTAATCTTTCCACTTTATTGACCTGTTATGACTGAAACCTTGCGTTATGACTTGTTGAAGGAGTAAGGGGAGCCTCTGTCCCACCATTTTTCTATAATGATGGCAGCGCAGGGTTATTTAATGTTTTTACAGGCTGTTACGGAATTTTATTCTGGAGCTTTGACCATGTGACACTGCAAAATTCAAGCCAGTAGTTTGAGTATGAATGTTTAACAACTGTTTTTGATTGGGGAACACATTTACCTGACAAGAGTGTTAAAATTTCAATCTTATGTTTCATACAAGATAAATCTCCCCAGTGTCTTTATAGCTGAGATTTTCTTCCGGGACCATGGGGATTTTTTTTAGATGAACAAATAAAAGAAATAGATTTCAAAATGCCCTGCATTCTGTAGCAGTTCTGTAGATTATAAGTGATGTAGTTGTAGCTTTGTGAGAGGGGCCACTGAAATATTCATGCACACTGGCCTACAAGGGATTCCTGCAACAACTCTTCAGAAGAGCATAAATGCAGTATTATAATAAAGCTGCACTTGTTACTAAAATTTAAGAAAAATAAGTGCTAGTCTTTGGCATCGGTTTGAGTTGTGATGACAGCTCTTCATGACAACCCAAATTACTTGTGAAGACTGCTGTTCTAAACCAAACACCCCTTTTAACCTCGTGGTTTCCAGAGTTTTTAAACTCTTACGATCTCAATAGGTTCGTGACTGAAGCAGCATTCTTCGTTTGTTCATTTGACAGTGGCCTCTATCATTTGAGAATAATTCAGTAGTTTTAAAACTACATTCTGAAATGAAAGGTCTTCCTTTGGACATCTCAAACTGCAAATATTACTTGTGATTTGACTCCTTAAGCAAAGTGTCGTTTTAGGTTTACTCTTAGAATGAGAGCATTGTCAAATGTTTGTAAATTTGTCATGTAGGCACAGATGGCTCTCTTTGACAGCGGTTGTGCATTATGTCTGCAAATGCAGGTGTTGAATATTAATAAGATTATTGCACAATTGAGTACATTTGTATTTTTCAAGAGGTCTTTAAAATGCTTCTTTGCGCTTCTGCATATCTTGCATTGATTGGGTTTTAAATCGAATTTGGCATCCCATTATTTTGTGAAGACTAAACCCCTTTTTAATATGATGATGATGAAACTGCTGAAAAACCATCTATGCACAGAATAAATAGGTGAAGGTTTTGGAATAATGTGATTGACCTTAAGGATGGATAACGAATTGCCCTTTTTCAAGGATAATTTTCTAATGCTGTCACTGAACATCTGTTAAATTCATATCTGAGAGTTTTGGGGTAGATGGATTGAAGCATAAATGTTTTTTTATTGTTCGTCTTTCGGATACGGATGCTTTATCGTCACCACAGAGGTAGCGACGGGAAACCTGCTGGATTTGGAAGAAGGAGCGAACTTGGCTTTTGCAAGCTCGGGTGCCAATTCTGGCCACATTGAGGAGCCCTTCTGCGTGCACAGGAACGCCACCGAGAACAACAACACCGTCTGGGTGAGTCGAGACCGCTGCCGCCCCGGACTCCTGATGAGAATCATGACTGGCCCGACTCGGGTGGGACTTTATTTATTTTTTTTACAGAATACGTGTTCTCTACATTCTGGTGCAGGGTCACACAGCCTCGGTTATGTAGGTTTATATACCACCCGAGCTCTTCGCAACCTTATCAATCCAATGATTGTCTTAGCAGCAGCAGTTTAATACTGGTCCCCAGTTCTCCAGGTAGCTGGAGATGACATGAGTCCTGAGTTGTGTCCCTCCAGGATCTGAAACCTAGCATTTGCAGAGGACTGATCCTGCTTTGCCATTGGGAGCTGGAGGTATTAAAAAAACAAACAAACCATTTAATTAAGGGCTCGATAGATCTTAATTAAAGTAAGCTCTGCTTGAATAAAGACAAGGGGGCACTCTAGGACTGGAAAACGCTGCTCTAAGCCGTTTGAGAAGATTAACGAAAAAGGCAGAGCTGGTGAGCTGTATAGCCAAACTCTGAAAGATTCCTTGCCTGCGCGGATGTTGCGATGCACATCCCCAGCAGTATTACGAGTCACAGTTTATCCAGGTCTTGAGGGTCTTGGCTGATGTCATCGTATTGAGTTATGATTTTATGTTGCCAGAAGCACTGAACTTCCCATTACATACTCTACCCATTTTGGACATTTTTTTTTCTTCTATTGATTCATCTTCTACATTTAAATGTGCCTTAAGGCAAGAAGTGTTTTTTTTACACAAAAAAAGATAACTTCAGAGTCTTAAGAGGTACTGCCCTACTTCTGGCATTAGGGCAAAAACATGCGTCTGGGGTATAAAATGGAAAATTTGGAAATGCACCCTCCAAATTAAAAAAGGGAACTCTTAACCCCCTCCCGCTCCAAAAAATGAGTTGTAGTTGTGATTAAGGTCCCATTACTTTGTAACTTTATTTTACAGGGTACAAAGGTTTTCAAAGGATCCTATAAATTAGGAGTAAACTCCAAATCCCAGTCCTCAGGTGCCAGATTCCTGCACGGGTCAGCTGGCATCACTAAGACCTGGAAACACAGCAGATTTTGCTCCTTATCCACTTAATTTGTTCAGCCAAGTCATTAAGGCCTCAGATGCAGTGCAAACCAGCAAGAAATTCAGCACTCAGAGGCTGGAGATATTTACTCCTGCAATGAAGTTGTCAGGTTTTTTTGGGGGGAATGCACATCAGACTTTTGATTAGTAGATGTGGGGGGGACTACATATTTCTGGCACCTCCTTAGCTTTACTTTTGGTATGGTGTTAAAATTTTAATGCAACATTTGTTTGAAGCCTGTGCATGATAATTACTGCAACTTTAAATGAATTTTGTTTTGACCTCAAAACTTCTTTCTCACAGGAACTTGATGATGGTTTGGATGAAGCTTTTTCAAGGTAACTGTTTCTCTTTCTTACAGTGGATAGTGGGTGTGAAACTAGCACTGTGGTTTTATCTTTCTTTAAAATGCCAACGCCTAGTTTTCAGCACAACTGTAACAGTGGAGCTGATTTGCAGTCTAGAAACTAAGGTGTTCCAATGACCACGTCTTGAACAGTGATTAAGATTGGTCTTAATGCATTGTCGTGTAGTGGGGTCCAGAACCCGTGCATTCATAACTTCTGCTTATACTCAAGTTATTTACAGAATCTTCTTGAATGTGCTTGCAATTGGGATAAAGGGTGGTAGTGCAGCCTGGCAAAAATGAGGTTTTTCCAACTTACTCCTGTTACCTCTCACCATTCAAAGATGTGCCATCTTGATCTTGATTAGTTGGCGTCTTCTGTTTCTTTGTGTGCACCATGGGATGGACTGGCATCCCACCCAGTGTGTAGTCCAGCTTTGTGCCCTGTGCCTCCAGGAAAGGGCTGGGTTACCCTGGGACAATGGATAGAATCTGTACAAGAGGTCTTGTACGCAAGATTGTGTTGTGAAGGGTCATTCTTCTGCAGTGTTCCATGCATCGTAGAGGCCTTTTTAATTAAATGATGCAACACACTCCGTCGTTCAGTCACAACCTTTCAACAACTGACAGATCTGAAAGATAACTTGCTGAGCTGTGCAGTTGAGACTCTTTCACCATAGCTTACCTGGTTTGGGGGGACAGGTTTTCTGCTGTCTCGCCGATTAAAATTGGTGTTCGTTGGACATCCCTTCTAAGACTAAGGTGATGGTTAGTAACTTGGCAGTTTTTTGCTTTACTGAAGACAGCAGGATGATGGTTTTTGTTAAATAATTCACATCTACTTCACAGCACTTTTTTTTATCTTTAAGATTCTAATGCAGTTTTCTTAAAGAATCCCAGGAAAGTTTGAAATAGATCCACGTTTTGATGGAGGTAACTACAAATAGTTTTCGTAAAATAGTTCCTTTAAAGTGTCTCTTGTGAACCATACAGACCAGGGGTATGTAGTCCTGGAGAACTGGTGTGCACTTGTTGAGCTTAGACACCGTTTAGTGAAGCAATTCAACTTCAGAGCCATGGAGGGAGGAACCCCACACATCTGCCCTCCAGGACCAGGATTGGGCAGCCCTGCTGTAGATGATTACCCTTTCTTTAAATGAGTGGATTCATTTTTGTTTCAACTACTTTTGCTTCCCTACTTTTGCTGCAGTGATTTCAGTGGAAAAACCAGTAGCTCTGAAATAAGTGTTCCGATCTGCAGTGCCTCGGAAAGAGGCACTGATCGTAAGATCTGTGTGAATCTAGGGATATGCCCAACATAGGGATGTGTTCTAATGGTGCAGCTCTGACCTCTTTGTCTTGTCAGGCAAACTGCTTTTTAATGAGGTTCTCAAATGTTGATATGAAGTAGGAAGTTCAGCTACATACCTCGGGAGAAAAGGACAGGAACCATCTTGTTTAGCTGACACTGAGGCATGTCAATTCTGTGACCTTTTAGGAGACTGAGGAGGCCCTGTGGCTCAGAGTGCTCTGTAATTCATTCAGCAGATGGGCACAGTGTACATGTGGGGCTGTATAGGATTGGCTGGACATGCTAACTGCACTGCAAATCTCTTAACCCAGAGCTGGGACTGAAAGTGGAATTACAAAGGGCTGTTAGTTTAACCAAGTGGCACAGCTTGGCATGGTAGGGTGACTGTGGCCTATTTGTGGACGGTAAATGAGGATGTTCAAGTGCTAAATGGAATGGTAAATCAAAGAGACGAAGGAGCTTTCAAGCACAATACAAAAAGTCGCATCAAATCTTTGTGTAGAGAGACCTCTCCATTAATTTCATTCTCCCTTTGTTTTCGGACGCGATTTAAACTGAATTGTCTTAAACGTACAAAACCCTTTTATCTAGTTAGTCTCTCTAATCTGAAAGGAGATGGGATGAGGAGCTCTAGGAGAGCTTGTGTAATTTGTAATATGTACTGGTCCCTTACAAATTCTTCCAGCAGTTCCTTTAGTGGGGGCATGAGGGAGCTGCACACGTACAGTACCTAATAAAGCAGATGTTAAAATTGTTTAACGAATGGTTTTAAAATATTTATGCTCATCTATGGAAGATGGTAATACAATAGCTTGCCGTTATTGTCCTCCCCTAAATATGTGAGCACATAATCATAATTTATTTTTCTTCATGCTTGTAATTAGATTCTAACAATGAAGCAGAAATGATGGCTGCGAAGTGCTTGCTGGGCAAATTGTTGTAGGTATGGGCTCTTTAATTTAGCATAGCGTAAGAAAAAAAGGAAAGGAAGAAGGTGAAGAACTGTGTGAAATTGGTTTCTGAGGTTACTTACAAACTGAAGGGCTTCTTGATGGTACTTCATGTAAATGGGGAAACTGATTTTAGAGAAATGCACAGTACAGTCTCCCTTGCTAAAACGGTTACAGTACATCTTAGATCTTTACTCCAGCACTGACCCCCCTGACTCAGTGGAAAGTTTTTCCCATGAATGATATCTGAGCAGTGTCTCTACAAACGCACTTTGCGCTAAAGGTTACGAGCACCTAATGAGAAATGTCCTTCGTTCGCAGTCTGATGGACTCGGAGGGCCATCTACAGACCTCCTAAAAACAGCAGACCCAATGCTTAACAGCACAAGATCTTTCCAGCTTTAACTGCTCTTTCAGGTGTTGAAAGGTGTCTTGCATCGCCCTGGGAGAGCTCTGAGGTGTTTCACGTGGCTTGAAGCTTGACTTCAGCTGTGGGCCAGTGTAAGCAATAGGTGAGGACTGTTTTCCTGAGAGGCGCCAGTTGGATGGTGATGTTAGTAGATTGGTTACCGGATGTCTACAGGCCTGGCAATTCTACTCTCCTCTGACCTCTGTTTTTAGAACAATTTTAGCTCAAACTGGGGGGTAAAGCTTCATCAAAACAAGCAGGGCTTGAGCTGGAAGCCATCGTGAACTGTTGCCTGCCTGCTGAGCCTTTTTTTGATTTATGCAGGGTTAAAGCCAAATTCACAGCCCAAAGGAAGTGAATGGAATGGAGCTGCTTTGTGCCTCAGAAGTCTGAGGATTGTTGTACCTGGGCATGGTTTAACAACTCAAACTTTTTAAATGCAGTTTCATATTTTCTTGTGGCACCGCAGCCAGGATTGTTTGTGACGGGGGCGCTCGGAGCCAGGCTGACTCACGTGTTCTCTTTGCGTTTGCCAGCCGCAGTCTGGATAGCTATGAGTCTTCAACAGGTAATGGCGTCTTGTTCGGCGACGGGCGTGTTCGACGTCGCGCCTCCACCCTCGGCTCACCCATGTGTACGTGAACCCCCCACCCACGTCTCCATCTCCCGCTCGTCCCGCGTTCCGCCTGCTTCACACCTCCAGCTCGGACGCTGACCGCAGGAAACCGCTAACAAACATGAGCTGCAGTATCTGCAGAGTAACAGGTGTAGGTCCTCGCAATTCTGTTGCTCAAGCTTTCATTTAAGATTTTTTTTAAATGATCATCCCAAAGCTCATCTTGCCCTGTTTTAGACACCCTCTTAGCTCCAAGACTTGAAATAACCAGCTGTGCGGGACGATAAGGTACTGACAGGGTCGGGGTTTGTTGTTGTCTTGTTAAGGACTTAAGATGTGGTAGCTGGGACAGATACTTATCTGCATTTAGTTGTGCTGAAGCGACTTTTTAATGAATGCAACACTGTGTGTGTGTGAAACGGAAGGTTTTTAAGGCCTGTGTTAGACTTCAGTCTTCTTGGTAGCCGTGTTGTGAGGCACTGGTAGCAGAGTCTGAGGTGTGAAGCCTGTTCTAGACTCGAAGGCACAGGAAGTGGCCGTGTGCCAACCTCAAAGTCTTAAAATACCCTGCTTTCGTTTTAGGCGTCTGTCCTGGGCTGCGTTTCACGAGCCCTGGCTTTTCTGTCAAGAGATCAGACTCTGATCTTCCCCCCTTTTATCTGTAACTGCGTTGTCTTGGTTCATGGTTCTCTTTGTGTTACAGCCTGCGTTACAAGTACCTGGGGGATGGGAGAGGAGCTGCTGTGTTTACAGTTGTGGATAAGTTAAACCACACATGATATCCAACGGTACTTTCTTACGGAAACAGACAACAGCTTATAGATATGAGCTCATGAGTAGGGATGCATTTGCTCGGCAGCAGCCTGAATTGTGGAGGGCCTGGGGGCAGGGAGAGCCCAGGACACAGCGCTCGGGAGGGGGACGGGCGTGCAGCCCTGCCTCACCGTGCTCGGGCTGGCCTCGTGGCTTTCTCTTTAGGGGGAAATTGAGCTGCGGGAAATAGCTTTAGCTGCTGTTGCAGGTCTCCTCTTCTGACTACAGACTGGAACCTGCAGATCTCCGTGCGAGTACATTGCAACTGCAGTAACTACCAGGTTTATTTCTGGTTATCCCGCTCAATAGTCCACTTGCTATCCGGAGTGTTAGCAGGGAATTGTGCTGTTGAGAATGTCTGAATGTCACCTGCAACTATGCCGTGTACTTTAAAAGCTGGATTAATTGCTTGCTTTGGGACAGATGTGAATCAGATTTCATTGTGTTCTCTCTCCGTGTGTTGTTGTTATGTAGTCCACAGCTGTTTTGTCTGGAAATGCCTTCCACTGCTTTTTGTTACACACCATGCATTTTCAACAGGACGGCAAGCTAGCACGCATTTGAATGTTATTTGGCCTAAACTTCACTTTTGTGCTGTCAAAGCATGTTACTCCTCACGTTAATATGTGACTGTGTGTTGCAGGCTGTTCAGTATCATCGTCAACAATCGCACATTTCATTACAAGCATCATGGTCATCTTTGTTCTTGTGCAATTGAATCAAAATGCCGAGATTCATTATTTTCCTTCTCTGCAGACTCGCTGAGTCTAGAACTAACCCCCAGGTCTTGGACATTGGGGTGACGCCTCAGGACTTCAACACTGACGAGTGCCTTTCACCCACGGACTGGGACAAAGCTGACGCCAACGCCGCAGACAGAGACGACATCTTCGGTTTCTGAGGACGATGGCGCCCTCCTGTGTGCGGAGCCGGATTTGCACCGAAAGGAAAAGCACAGAAAGCCGTCTTCCTTGGAGAGACCACTGGCGCCACCTAGTGGTTTTTAGCTGGGAGGACTGACTAACCCAAAACAAGCGTTTTCAGCTTCCAGACTTTTCAGACCAAAGCAATAATAAACTATTACAAATATTTGCATTTCCCCCCACCTTTTTCTTTTTCTAAGGAGCCATCTTGCAGTTAATGGAGTTCTTTGTTAGTCTTGTTCTGTTTTGATTTCTTTTCATGTGCTCACTTTTTGACATGTCTGTATATATGTATCAAAATCAGTATGACGTTTTATTTTAGAATTATAATTTATATCACCCTTTTATTTTTTTTATTTCGTTGAGTGTTTGTTTACCCTTTCTGCTTTAAAAAACCCCAAGAACAAAGCCCATGTCCTTTCATGTACTGACTCAGTGTAGCCTTTTCTGAATATATTTCAGGATCCCAAAGTTTCAATAATCCTCGAAACAACATGCAATTTCCTTCTGTTCTTTGCAGGACTGAATTTTTGGGTAAATGTTGATGTGTTGTACACATTTGTGTTGTCTCAGAGGTGCTTTTATTAAATCTTGTAAGTGTTAATTTTCAAAACAAGGATATCATGGGGAATTTTGAAACACTAGGGTTTGCTTTAGAAAAATGTAAATTCGTTGTTGAGCTCAAAATGGAACTTTTGGATTTCATTTTGTAAACGGACACAAAGAATGAACGTCTTTGGTTAGAAGAGGAATGAGACATTGTGCCATGTCTGCTTTTGATGCACTTAAACCATCACTTTCTCAGCGTCACACTTTTATTTAGGAAATAAATTATCACAAGGGGAGCAGGGCACATTGGCAATTGTGCTAGTAGAAATAAGATGCATCTCTGAGTGTGGAAGATTTTAAACCTGATTGCAATATTTTAGGGGTTTCTTGTCGGTAAAATAAATGCTGCATCCAGCGTTTCAGCTATAGCTGAAATTGGCAATGCCAAATAGACACACACAGGGACAGAAAAGCTATTCTGAACTGAATCTTTTTGTGAACTTTGGTAGCTCTTAATGTTTAGCAAGAAACTTTTTATTTTTCTTTAGACCACAATCATGGTGGGGAATGATACATTCACCTATGCATTCAATGAGGTAAGAAAAATAAACCTGCATGTCAGAGAAGGAATTTTGCATTTTATGAGAAGAAAAGGACAATCTTATTTTGTTTTCTGGTTGGAAAGCTTACTTTTCTGAAAACAAAAGCAAGAAGTATTTTTGCACTTGTTTTTCCTCCCTCTTCAGAGCACATTGTTTAATTGCAGGAAAGTGGGTTTTTATGCAGGAAATGCAAATGCTGCTAATGGTTCCCCACCTGTGTGGTTTTGCTTCTCCACATTCACCTTCCCGAAGCGATCACTTCCTGGGGAGGGGGCTAGGTGTGTGTGTGTCAGTGTTAATATTGACCTTCTACACATGGTTGCATATTCTTTTGGATTAATTTAAATACTACTCTGTCAGTATCATGTTATGTTCCCTCAAAATTGAATAAAATAAGAAATGAAAGTGAGACCTGTCTTTTTTTTAATTGCAGGATTTGTTTGTGATCCTGATCACCTCTAATGATCCGAAGCTGGCTTGATTATAATATATCAATATATGGGGGAGTCTTTACGACACCTGGCGGTGCTGTAATTTTCATGTTGATGGGAATGTGCTCGTCACATCAGTCTGGTTCAGATCGGGAGCCTTGACCCTGGAGGACCTCTCTGCAGTTGGTCTTGTAGGCAACTCTAAACTGACGGCTCCTAAACTTCAATTAATAACTTGGCAAGATTTCACGAACAAATTTAATGAGTAGTCTGGCCTTCAAGGGTTTGAATGGTTTGGATTCCAGGCAATTTGTTTGCTTACCGGTGTATGTGGTCCCAATGAAATTCTTTCTAGCGTTCACAAAGTGTCAACTCAATGGTTCCCTAAACGCTGTGCTCTATTGGAGCTTTCCAAGACCACACTTAGGGCACTGTTTTAGGTGGATGTGACTTAGATGCCTTTGAGAAGAGAAAATACTCTTAAATCCTTCGGTGTATTTTTGGTTTGGGGGCACAATTCTGTGCAGCCCAAGCTGCTGACTCATAAAAGAAGAAAAGAGCCCCTTTGAATGCTGCGTCAAACATGTTTCTGAAATAGAGAGTCTGCGTGTCATACTTGCACATCTGGTTGTTTTATTTGCAGATATCCTGTGTGTATTGGAAAGCAAGGGGTGCATCTGTCATATCCCCCCAAAAAACTTATCTTTTAACCAACTAGTTCTTGTTTTTTCATCTCCTTAAAATGCAAACGGTCTGGATGGCTTGGTAGCATTTGTTACTCCTTTCATAAATTGCTATGGGTATCCATTTATACATCTGGATTCTCCACAAAAAGCACGGATTAGTCCATGGGTGAACTGAACCACTGAGCTGGACTGGTGTCCAGTCCAGGGTGTACCCTGCCTTGTGCCTCTGGATAGTATCCAGCCTCCCCACAGTGCAAGTTTGGGAGAAGCGGTTGGAAAATGGATGGATTGATTTGGACCAAATTAGGAAATTGAAAACTTTGTCTACTGAACCATTCTTTTCCCCTAATGACGAGATAGTGAAGCTTATTCAATAAATCTTTGGTAGTTTCTTTATAAAGCGACATTAAATTAGCTGAGAATAAAAAAAAAAGTCAGAACGATACCGTGTCTGTCTTTTTAACTACAGAAGGTGGCATTGTCATTTTAAAAATGTGGTAGCATCTGTCCTGAATTAGTAGACAACGATTTTTTTTATATATATTGTATTCGAGTCTTGATTCGTTAAATTATTTTTGTCTCGTCTGTACAGGATTTGTAGATGAACAACAACAGGTAAATGCACAACCATGTTTATTGCCCTCATTAAATGACACGTTTACAACATGGTCTCTTTCTAATTAATACTGTTCCTATCCGTGTGTTTTACTGAAACATGGTGCGGTCGGCCCAGGTGGAGACCCGACTCCGAAGTGCTTAATTATACACATTAAAATCGACGTTTGGTTTCAGTTGACTAAAACGTCCACTACTTCGTCTTGGAGACTGCCATACAGTAGGTGACTTCAGCGCCCCCAATCATTACAATACACTCACTTCTTGCTCGCACTAATTATGCAAGAGCTAACCGGTTTTTGTGTTTTATTCATTAAAAAAAACTACGAATGCAGCTGTAGGATTGAGCTCCGCCTTCTTCTCCACGTTAAATTAACGCTTTGTGGCGGCCGAGTCGGTTTGGCTGTTGGGGTTTGTAACGTTGATTAAGGTAAGTGTAGTTAACCTTTATATGTTTGGGATATTCCCTATAAAAAACAAATAAACAAACACCACCAAATCGTCATAAATTGAAGTGAAGTGGGTAAATCTTATAAAAAAGTTATAAACCGGATTTTTTTTTCTTAAGCGGTGGGGTGGAGCCAAGGTTATCGGTTAATGAGAATTAGATAACCTTCAAACAATCAGTAAAATAGTATGTTTAGCATTGTGAATTCGGGAGTGAAATTACACGTTTAAGTCATTTGCGAGCGGAATTATGAATGTCAGGTATCTAGGATTGTGCTCTTCTGCCTTGTTTGACGCTGTAACATTGTGTAAACTTCCAAAGGCTTGGAGTTTGATCGTTACGCGAGTCGGGGGTTTTGAAACAGTATCCAGCATTGTTTATTATTCTGGTTTTAGAACATTTGCATGATAACCTGAGAGCGCTGAAATCTTGCTCATACCCCGAGCGCCAGGTGCGCTCTTTGCCTTACAATAGTTTTTTTTGCCTTAGAAAAGTTTTCAATCCTGCGTTCCCGGGTATTCGGTCCAACTGGACACCAAATCACCTTAATCAGTGACAGAAGGTAATTGATCTGCTTGCTTATTTCGAGTTTTTTCCCTGCACTTGTTCCTTGGTTTAAAAAAAAAATAACCTGCAGTGTGTATGTATATTCTATCCAACAGCTTCAGTACACAGAACTTCATGTGGTCTCTTCTGAACCTTGCTAGTTAAGAATTCGCTCTCTTGTTGAAGGCTCATAATAGACGCTTTGTAATCTACAAACACTTGATGGGAATGACAAGGCTTCAGATATTCTCGCAGTAAATCCACAAACACAAGTTTCTCCTTCTGCTTAAGTCCTGTTGCTCACACGTCAACACATTTCCACTCCCCTGAAGGAGGGTTTCAGTAACTGGGGTGCTGGCAGAGGGTTGATGCAAATTACAGCTTTTGAAGAGCTAAAAGAAAACTTAAAACCTAGACCTAGAGTGGAAACCTGAAATTGGCGAATCTATAGTTAAGAATATGACCTGGAAAGAAACAAAACAAAAATGGAACACATTGGTCTCTCAATATGAAGATGGAGAATTAGTATTTGGAAAAAGAAAAGATGAAAAGGCTAGTTTTCACTGCTGTATGACTGATTTTGGTGTTTCTTACTAGTGGAGTTTTCTTTTTCTTCCTAGGGCGCAAGTTCTTGCAATCTCATCTTCAATGACAGAAGATGGAGTCTGACAGCCCCCGATCGCCCTTGAGTTATCGCAGAGTCGTGCTGTATGACTTGCCAGATGATAGGTGTCAGAATTCTGCTTCAGGTCTCTCAGATTCGTACTGTAATTTAAAAATCGTAATAGCCAATCACCAATGCGCTGCACATCCCAAACGGCGCCTTGATTCCTTTCCAGAGCGTGCTTGTTCGTCTCCTTTAAATAAGCCTTTGATTTTAAACTCTGGTTTCAACTCCTTACGCAGCTCTGATAAAGCTTCCCACCCGCCTGATTTAGCTCGTGTCCTTGACTCCTCCTCACAAGACAACGAGGCGTCTGAAGCCGCTTCTGAAATCCTTCCAAGGGAAGAGAGAGCGCTGTGTGGGAAAACCGTGGCTGAAAGGTGCAGTCAGACCCCACGTATTTCTGTGCCATTTGGGGAGCAAGACTTGGACAAAGGCGCTTCAGTTCCGGGTGGGGCTTTCACAGCCTGTCCCAGTAAAATTACAATGACGCAAACTAGTTCCTCAGCTGGGAAACCTGCGGCACGAGAGCAAGCTGACGAGCTGATGTCTGTTAGCCCCGTTGACAGAGATGATGACGGGATTGAGGAGTTTATTGTAAGCTGTCAACAGTTTTACGAGAGCAACTGTAGCGGAGCTGGTGGCGCCGACTGGAGCTCGTGCGATGACCAGGATTGGAGATGTGGAATGGAAAACGGAACCTCTAGCGACGAGGGCTACTTCACCAGCTCTTTCAGGGAAGAGCAGTCGAGTGCTGAAGGGAGGGGCACCAGTCCCAAGGAGCTGGTGCAGCCTGTGAACACATCGACGCCTTCAGTGAAGGGAGCTGTTGCAGATGGGGGGCTGTTGCAGACGGGGCAGGTGGCGCTGTCGGGGACAGTTATCCACAGTGAGCCTCGGCCATGGGAAGTCTTAGGACTGCAGGCGTTTGCCTCATCCCTGGCTGGTAATTCCGGGCCTGAGTCCTTGCAGAGGGATATTTTATTTCAGGACAGCAGCGAGCGTGCCTCAACCTTTGGGCCTGGGATTTGTGAAACCCATCATTCGCTGGAGTCTAAGGGTTTTTCTGATGCAGCGAGTACTGCTTCTGAGCACAAGCAGTTTGCCCAGAAGCCTTTGGCTTGTGTTAAGGAAAAAGAGACTTCTGCTAATGGTTCATTAAATGCTACACAGCTACTCCACAGACAGGTAAAAAAATGGATATTGTCATTATTAAATCTTTAAAAAATACCTCTCATCTAAACAGGATGTAGTGAAAGGATTGTTTCCTCCTTCATCTTCCTGCTGTCTGCGTTAGAGATGTTTCTCAGCTGTGTGCTACGAAAACAAAACACTGCATGGAAACTGGCGCGTGTGTCTTGTGGAATGAAAATGTGTAGACGGGATATTCTGATGAAAGCTGCATCCTGGGTAGTAAGATAAGTTTTAAAACCTGGATGGTGCTGGAATTAATATAAGCAGTGGTAAGAGTTCCTTACGGAAGAGCCCAGTGCAGTCATTCTGGGAAAGTGACTTCTGACCTTGGAGAGATCCAGGCTGTTCTTTCTGGTTTGTGTTACTCCTGGGGTTTAGAAAGTGGTGGCTTCGGTCACGGTGCTCCAAGGAAGAGGTTGGCTCCTAATGAGGGAGCTTTTTGAGACTGTTTTGAAAATAGATATGTATGCACAAGTAATTTATGAGGTATAGTCCAGAAATAAAGGTGTAGATGTCATAGTATTTGGTGCAGCCGATAATATCTAAGTATGGGCCAAGGTACATTTAATATGAGATATTTAAAATATAAGTGTCTTAATGCATACTGTTTTTGTGTAGATATGTGGAGCTTACTCTGTTGACTCTGCAACTACTATTCTCTTTCAAGTTGAGCACTTTAGTTGCATCTAAAATCTCATAGTTGTTCAAATGTAGTATTGTATGATGTGTCTTGTAGGATTTCATGTTGTATTTATTGTATTTTTGTACTTGCATGCATACAGTATGTCTTTTTCTTTTTATTGGTGAAGGTTGTGAAGCAATATTGCCAAATACATTTCCCAGGTTTGGGATAATGAAGGTTTTCTAATCCAATCCCAGTAGTTAACAGCAGGAAGTGTTATAAAGTACCTGCAGCAGAAACGTGTGCGAGGGGGTGACTTCAGGGTTGGGGCAAAGGGTCCCTCGATAAAATGGCTACCCAAGGCTGATCATCAAGAGTCTGAAAAAGTTTTGTAGGTTCTCTCTAGTATCTACCACTTCATACCTGTGATGCAAGGTTAAATTGGTGAGGCTAAAATTGTTTTCTCGTCTTGGTCTTGGTGCCGATTTCAGGACGCTGAGAATATCTGCTGGGCTTGTGCCCTCAAGGCCCAGACTAGGCACTAGTATCTTACGGAAGAGATGTCAAAAGGAATTCTCACCTCAGGCTGTCAGAAGCCCCTTTGTGATGTTGTCCTCCGTTTTTGAACATTGTTTTCTTAAGACTCATCATGCTGATCATTCTAAGACGGCCTTCTCTTCCCCAGTTTTCTTGTATTTTTTCAGGTGAGGTCTGTGATTATCGCCCCTGCGACTATGAACCATGTCCCTCCCGCACAGGGCCCGGTTAATGGTGCCCTCAGTGGTCCAGTTTATAGGTACGTTCAGGACATCCATGGAGTTTCCCTTCAGAGAGGTTCGCGGAACAAAACTACTGTTTTGTAGCTTAGAGCTCATAAAAGTACTAACTCATTTGGTTCATCCTAGCTAAATAATCAAATGAGTTTCTCCAAACATTTTGTGAAGCCAAGGTATCAGTTTGGACAAAGTGACTGGGTGGCAAATTGATCCTGGATCAATAATTCTGACGAGTATGTTGGCGGGACCTTATTTGCACTCCTGCTGTTGCAAGAGTAACAGAAGCGAGCACAGATGGAAACCACTAATTGTTTCTAAGCTTGAAAAATGTTGAGAAAAAAGTAATTGGCAGTGCTATTTGTTTTTAAAGAAGGTTAGAGATGCCTGGAGGCGTTGAAAATAATCAACATACAACAACCGTTGTAGCTGCCCTGTGGGAGATTTTAGTTATTGTAGAATTTCCAGGTTTAGCATATTGTCTAACAGTAGGGGGAAGCATTTAGTAACACTGTTTTTTGGAGGGGGTTCGTTTTAGTCCTATGTGCGCTTGTAAAGGAGTTTTTCTTCCCCACACACTGCTCTTTGTAGAAATGTAGTCTTTGAAGAGTCGGAGCTGGAACAACAAAAGAAGATGTATGTCCAGCGCGTGTCCAGCCACATGGCCGACAGTAACGCTGAGAACCAAGGTACGAATGACCAATACCACGCTACTGTCAAGTTTTCTTTTCAGTTTAATGCTGCGATAAAAGTGTCCAGTTTTCATGGAAAAGGAGCAGATTTCTGTATGGGAAACAGGCAGCTGTGCGTCAGTCGTGTATTTTCATGTCTATGTTTTCCTTTTCAATTCACTAGGTACAGTAGCATATGTCACTCGTCCATTTTGAGTTATTTTTTTCACATGGTTACGTCCTTTCTTTGCCACAGATTTTTGTGAGCGTGCTCACATTAATGTCTGTTTCTCTGGCAGCTCTTCCAGAGAGACACGTGCACTGGGGTGACCAGTGTTGGAGATGGCTAATACCTCTACCCTTGTAGGATTATCTATAGAAGAATCCTTGATAACCCCTCACCTGTGTGCACCTGTGTGGCCACAGCAGTGGGCCCTTTCTCCTCCCCCTCCTGCCCCCTCTCTAGCTCTTTCAAATTCTGATCATCAGATATCACCGCCAGAGGGTTGGAGTTTTATTTTGTGAAGAAAATCTCTGTTCTTTTTCCCGTCAAAGTCAGTCCTGTGTAGGTTTAACAATACAGAGTGGACACTGAGGCCAGTGTTGAGTCTCCTATTGTCTGGGACACAGCAGTGGCTGTGGAGCAGTGAGAACGCTCATCGGGAGCAGGTTGGGTTTTGTAACAAGGTCTCCATTTGCATTCAGAAGCAATACAGAAAAAGGAATCGTTTTTTTTTTTCCTCAGTACATGCCTGCATGCTTTTCTTCATTTTCTTGTGGAAAGGGTTCCAAATCTCTTGCTGAAAAGTTAAGAACTGCACTGTATATCACGCCTGGATGTGTCGTGAGTACACACTCTTATTGTAACCTTTGACTAAAGGTTTAGTGTTGAAAAGGTAAAGGTCACAGATAAAGATCAGATTGGGATGTGAGAAAAAAAGTGTACATGGGGCTTTTTGAACCGGTCTTTTTAACCAGCCCTTCCTCCTGATGTTTCCTAGGCGTGATGAATGAGCTGCTGGTCTTGATGAGCGCTGTGGCCGGCCAGGGAAATAGCACCAGCAGCGGGTCATGGCAGCACCCCTCAGATCTCACAAAAAGGTGAGGTGCATGGTGCCCCGATTCTCCAGGGGCACATCTTTTACTCATTTATAAGGCCAGTACTCTAGAATCCGTGCACTTACAGTAATTCTTCTCGGTAACTTCTCTGCGTTTGGCATTTAGCACCGTTTCTCCATTTCTGGAGAAAATAGCACCTCCTAGCTGTATTTGTCATTTGTACTTGTGTTATTGTACTGTGGAAAACATTTGAACAGTTAATGGGCAATTTTATCGCTGCAGAAACTACAGGAGAGCACTGGGCAAGCCCGTCTGTCAGATTAGTCTGCAAGACTGGCAGAAGAGGAACGGAAAGTACTTCCGGCGCTTTGCATCAATCCCAGACAAGTTTAACCGCAGCAGGATAGCCGATACCTGATGATGAGGACAGTGTGTGTGCTGTCCTTTTGTGACTGTGTGCTGCTCTGTGCGCATGTCGTCGTTCACTATTTTTAGTAACTCGTAGTTTTCAGTAGTGAAGAGCACTGTGTGGTGAAGGTCCAGTCGCTGGGCAGCTGGAGGACAATATTTCAGTACGGAGGCGTGATCCGGTGGGGAGAGCGGGCCATCGGTAATTTTGATTTATTTTTATCATGTCACCAATCTCAATAATGTTGATGTTGGCCAAGGTAGCTCTAAAAAAGGAGAAACGATTTGACAGTTTTGGTGTCTTGACATGCTTGAAATTGCTGGCTCTTGTAAAGCAGGCTTGCTCGTCTGACCCTTTACTGGACAGACACTTTTTACCATAATACAGTTTATCAGCCTACTCTTCAGCCTACTTTTTTGCACTTGCTTGACCTTTCTTCCTTCAGCTTCTGAGCTTATAAGTTCATTCAGTTCATTTAAATTTGTGTTTTATTTTGCTCTCTGTACGAATTTTTCTGAACTGTATTTATTATCTAGCTAGTTCCGGAAAACATGCAGTTTGTCGTTGGTTGATTTTAACATTTTTTGTTTGTTTGTTAATTGTGTGTTTGAACTGGAAATAAATTAGCGTAAAGAATTTAAGGTCAGAAGTCTCTGTATCTTCACTAAATACAGGTGACACTTTGCTCTTTGTTCAGCTAAATCAGAGTTTCAAGATCCTGGATTCCCAGAATTACTGGTTTCACCTCCAGCTGGACTTGTCCCTAATAGAAATCTTTACTCACAAACTGTTTGATTTTCAAGTCTTTTCCTACTCGAAAGCTGGACATCGTAAGTCAATTATGAAATGCTGTGGTTAAAAGGCATGCTAAGTGGCTGAAAGTCATAGAAGTGTCCGAATGAATCCTGTTATTAGGTCGGTTAATGTAAGTGAGAGATCAGCTGGAACAAGAAGAGTGAGCACACTGGCTGTGCCACAGTGGGGCTGCAGGTTCTGTACCAGGGGTCTGATGGGTCTCCTTGGCTTGTCCGGGCAGGAGCAGAACTCTTGTCTTGCCATGTGGTCTCACACAAGCCTCTTCTGCCTGTAGGTGCAGTGGGTCTTGGTGTTCGAGAGATCTGCTCTCCATTTGGGGGTGCAGAATCGGGAGGGGTTGTTCTTCTCAAGTTAATCCCTTCTTATTTTTCCTTCTGTGCTGCTGCAGGAATGAGTGTAAAACGGGGTGCTGGGGATTATGTGTGAAATAGAAGAAAGGTATTGCACATCAAAAAACAGTTCAATGTGCATAAAAAGGTACTAAACATATGACTAATATCGGAGGTCTGCATACATTTTGAAAGCCTACAAACCTTGTACAAAGTCTTGTAGTACTCTTGTTGTACTCGCAAGAGTAAATGAAGGACATGTGCACCTTATTTTTGTGAAGCTAATGGTTTTGGGCTTTTATGTGTTAACCGGTTGACTAATTCCTCACCCCTGAAGAAGGCAGGCCATTTTTTTAGTTAACTGAAGATTATAACATTAAAGTCAGCAGTTTGCGAAGTTGCACACTTTACAGTCACTGAGAAGTTCTCCTTAAAACCCCTTTTCTTTTGTCGGCGGAGTGTTTGTGTGGGTGGGCCGTTGGAGAGAGATCTACTGAAGGTTAGCGACAGCCAGAAGCACATGAATTCTTGTGGGGGGGGGGGGGGGGGATGAGAGATGAGGAACTACAAAACTAAAGCTATTTGCATTTGAAACAAAACACTGACAGTGGAGTATGCATTCACTTCCAATATTTGTATTTCTGTTTTAAATGTTGAATGTAGAGATTGGGGATTCTTAACACTGTCGCATTTGCAAAGGGGAGTGGCATGATAAGTATAGATTTGTCAGGCATAGTGCCAAAAGCTCCTGTTAGAACTTAAGGTTAATAGAAATGGAAAAAAAAAACAGTTTCAAATTTTGGATTGTTTGTCAATGAAAATGGAAATTTCCTCCTCTGAGACATACTGTAGGCCAGGGTTGTATCATACACTTTTTGCTTTTATTCTTTTAAGATAAATTTAAGCCAGCAACCTTATCACTCTGCATCTCACAACTGGATCCCCACCACAAACTATGCATGTAATAAATTTTGTGCAAATGAGCAAACTTACTGTTTTACAGACACTAAAACAATAAAAACATGAATGTCGCCTTTTAAAAATAAGAAAAAATATTTTCAATCATCTCGTTTCTTAATTTTTGTACATTCCCCAGTGTTGATTTGTGGCTGCAGCCATCTTCCAAAACCCTCTCAGCCTCTCTCTTTTCTGTATTTTATTCCGGCTGACTTTTCAATGTCTAAATTGAAATTTTAACATCATTTACTTAATCTGGGAAAAAAAACAGATTTTTTTTTCTTGACTGTCATCTGTCTTCATGTATGAAATATGTGTATGTACGTTATGTATTCTATATGAAAGTAAATCACGGGGAAAATGAGTTTGTATTTCTGTTGCGTGTCCTTTTACTTGATGTATGTGTGTGATAGAGGGCCTCAAGGTTGACCTGTTACCATGGTGACATGAATCGTGGCTGTTGGGCCCTGAATACAGATCCACCTCCGGCAAGTCGGTCTTGTTGTGACTGCAAGCTCTCTTGTGCCTTACTGGAGCGTTAGGTTCATCTCTCACTGACATCACTGCATGATTACAGACACATGGCCAATCACAGGCATTGCTGTTTACTGCCATCCGCCCATTTCTAACTGCTTCTCTCAATTCAGGGTCGTGGGGGAGCTGGAGCCTATCCCAGTAAGCAACGGGCGCAAGGCAGGGCACATCCTGGATGGAATGCCAGTCCGTTACAGGGTACACAGACACCAATGCACACACACTCATACCTCAGGCCAGTTTTCCCAGAAGCCAATTAACCTACCTGTGTGTTTTTGGACTGTGGGAGGAAACTGGAGCAGCCAGAGGAAACCATGTTTAACCCGGAGAGAACATACGAACTCCAAACGGATGGGATCCCAGGTCTGGAATTTTACCTGGGTCCCCAGCGTTGTGAGAGATCAAAGCTGTCCACTGTGCCACTTGCTGCCCTGCTTTTTACTTAAAAGAAGCAAACATCCTTGCCAGCTTATGTCTGTGGGGCTGCTCTACATGAGAACTCTGGCATCTGGGCTATGGGGCTCAATCCTTACATTCCTGTTTTACACTGGATGAAGGTGCGACAAAACCTTTTGGTCATGAATACACTGCCCAATCCTTGATGCAAGACATTTGCAGTTCAGTTTAGTTTTGCGCTTTTTGGAGCTGGTACTTCTCATAAAGAGACCCAGCCAGCCAGTGTTTTTAAGTGCTGCAGCCTATATAACAGCAAAAATGCTGTTGCTGGGCAAATCTCGATGCGTCTCCTGCTTAGATCACTGTGGACGGACCATGTGAATTATGACTGTCTCTGACTGCTGTGTACTTATAAAGGCCACCCTTGTACTTTGTGCGTAATGCTGAGTGCCGTTAACAGGCACATTTGTGCTGGCAGCTAAAAGACCTGAAAAGTGATATAGTAGCAACTCAACCATTTGGAGGTTAATGAAAAGGGAGCTTAAAAAAAGCCCTGCAATCATCACACAGTTTCATTGCAGGGATAGGAAGGCAGGAAACAGTGGGTAACTCAAATGCATGAGGGAGAAAAAGCTAATGAGCGACATTGTTCAGTGTAGTGCCAGAAAGGCTGGATTTAGGATTTGTTAGAAGATTCATTTTGAATCCCACTGTAGACCTTACACAATCTGACTGGAGGCCACATTTAGAAATTTCTGCCCAGTGTTTTTCCTCTCCCGAGAGTACTGCATACTTGCCGTGGATTTTAATGGAACTGTTTTTTTTGTTGTTTTCAAGCGAAAACTCTGGGATAGTCATATGCTTCTATGGAAATCTGTCTTCTGAGAATGATCCTTTGAAAGACCTGTGTTGCTGTCGTAGTTTTACACTCTAAGTAACAGCCGTTAGAACTGTGTCGAGTTTTTATTGGGAACATGCAGTAGCTTTCCTATACTTTGACTGTGTTCTGTGTTAATATTTTGTGTTTTCTTACGGATACTGTGCTTTGGAAACCCCAGCCTCATCTTGAAGGGCTCATCTGTGTGGTCAGTTAAGAAAAACATCGGCAAAAACACAACACTGGGTTTGGTTGGACAGTGTTCTCTTGAAAAGTGCATATAGGAGGGTAAAACATCAGGACTTGGCTTAAAGCTGGCGCGTGGTGTGCTTGTAAATGGGTTCAGGTGTGAGGTGGAATACTCTAACAGACTCTCCGAATTGTGGCTGATAGACCAGATCCAGTTAGTTACTGTAGCTTGTCTTTGGATTGGCTTCAGTCTGATTCCTTTTACAGAAATCTTGCTGTGGCAGTCCTTAGGCCAGATTAGCTCCCCAGACACTGCATTTGTACTAAACACTAAACCAAAAACTGTGTATTGATTGGGTATCACTTTCACAGCAAAGCTTAACAGCTTTCGAAACAAAACTTAAAGCAGATAAAAGCAGAGATCCATCAGGTTAGAAATGGAAAAGGAATATATTCCCTTTCACACTGCTGTCGAGTCCTTTATATTTTGAATTACTGAAGGAGAGGAGAGGAAGTCACGTTTTGCCAATACCTGAAACAATGGCTTTGGTACTCAGTTCCTTTAGCCAAGGTAAGGGACAAATATCTGTCTTTCACAAGACGTGGGGTACCTGCAGAGGTGCTGAGCATGTCTTGGTAGCTCCATGTTTTGCAGGTGTTTTGCAATAGTGTGGATATTCAATGCTTCTTAAAAAATAGGATGGACTCGGGGTTTTGCTCTGTAGCATCATGTTTCTCAAGATTTTCCCTTCATTTTTACCTCCATTGACTTTTTGAAGTGTAAAAGTAATTTGTACAGACAGTTATTGTGTTCATATAGGGCGCACAGGTTCATCAAGTTTGAGCCCCTCTGCAGGGGAGGCATTTGTACCACAAGGTGGAACCGCGAGACTGTTTAGCCACGCTCTCAGGGCAAGGACAAGATGAGATCACTTTTTTTCAGCACAGCAACGATTTTATTTCAGAAGCTGTTCCACAGAGAGTCTGTTTATTCGATCATACCTGTTAAAAGCCGTGCTGTTGTGTGATGTGTCCAATTACTGGCAACAGAGCTTGGCTTTGGGCTTTAAATTAGATGCATAACTTATTCGAATTTTGGATGTAATAGATCTCAGTTAAAAATCAGTACGTTTTTTCCTCTTTGGCAATATGAAACAGTAACAGTGGGGTTAGTGGTTTCCAAAACTAGAGCTGTGTGAGATGGTGTGATAGCATGCTATTACAGGACCCAAGGCTGGAAGACAGCCTGTGTGCAGCACTGAAGGAAGTCCTTCTTAATGATGGCCTGCAGCCCTCTTCACTGTTCAGCTCCCCCAAAGAATTTGGCATCCTCCTAAGGATTAAGACTCAAGACAAAAGAGTGCTGTTTGCATCTGTCATTCATATAAGCAGGAAAGCACATGAGCAATCGCCAATAGTTGTAAAACTTTTTTTCGAGATCAGAAAATGTGTAGCAGATCCAAGTTGACAGGAAACTATTTGATTTGAAAATATTCAGTACCTTTATTAGATTTACATTTAATACATCATTAGATCTATGTACAGTTTAATAGAAAGTGTGTAATCTCATTTGTGCATATTAGTACAAGCATGCTAGCCCTCTTAGTAAAGCAGTTGGTATTATACATTACATACATGAATATAAACATGATAGTTTACACAAAGCATTCCTGCACTTTATTCATGCTTCTTTGCAAATCTTCAACTATGGAACAGAGTTAACGTTTGAATTTGACTTTGAACTCAGCCTCACTTGTTTTTACTGCTGAAAAACCTGTCTTCCAAGTTGGACTCAAACTGTTCTCACGGATGTCAGAGGTGAAAGCTGATCTTCAGAGCTTCAGGGTTTCATGACTGTTTTAATATAGAAGGTGAAACACTTTGACCTGTCTAAAACTGAACCGCCATTCCAGTTCTGATAGAAAGCGGGAAAAAAAAGTGACCTCTTTATTGCAAACCTTTTTCTTTGTCTTATACTTTAAAGTGATCAAGTTCATTAAGACTTAAATGCGTCCTAGATTTGTGTTACTCTTTAGTTTAAAGGGCTGGCAGTGATACGTTTAAATGTTATAAAGACGTTTACAACATGTTCATGCATGAGAATCTTCTGTATTGCCTGCTAATAATGTAATCAGTCAGTTGAAAATGTCACTTACCTCAAGTTAAATATAATTATCTTCTGTCTTATTGCATGCTGCGAAGAATGAAGTGACAATTTGTAATTCCTAATCTAAAGTTTTACCAGATACAATTGTACAATGCATGTTTTCTTGTGATTTTGGACTGTACCATCGGTCATAAAATATTGAATATAATCTCCACATATATGAACACATTGAAATGTATTACTAATACTGTTCCTTATGCCTTAATTTGCTTTAATATTTATCTCTCAAAAACTAAAAGGGAATTTTAATGACATTCAGATTATATGAAAAAGGATGCATTATTTAAAGTGTTCAGGAGCAATAAGACTTTATTAATGTATAATGGAACTAATGGGTCAGTGAAAATTTGTAAAAGTTATTAAAATAATCCAAATAAAAAAGCTTGTTGGTGACTTCTTGACATTGCATTATTTCACAGATTGCAGCCTGTTGAAATTGTTAAGGAGGTCGAAGATCGAAGTGTGTGGTCTGTTTTACAGAGGCTTGAAGTCATCCTTAAGTGTTCCCATTCTGTTCAGGCAGTTCATTTTCACAGGAGGTTTAATGAACAGACAAAAGAGCAATGCTAGTTGGTTTTAGTATAGGTCAAGGAGGATTGTAGATCGGGTTTGAAGCAACAGTTCACGTTCAAAAAATAAATATGTATTGATATGCAAAGAAAACAATGCTGAATAAGAGGTACTAATTTATACTGTACACAATCCTGTCTGATAATAACTTGTTAGTTCTACTAAAGCTACCAATTAAAGAAAAATACCATATCTTGATAATCTTAATCTTTTTGTTTAAGCAAAAAGTATTGAAACAGAGAATTATAAAGCCACTTATTTTGTTTTTTTTTATGCAGTTTGTGAGTCTATAGAGAGCTGGTCCCTTTCCAAGTATTAGACACAGCACCATGAAAAATGATGGAGCAGTAACAGTCCGGAAGGACTTTAATTACGTGCATAAAGTACTAATTCTTATTGAGGTGTGAGCTGTGAAGCAGTCTCCTCATAAATCTTCTCCTTTTGGTTTTACTAGAGGTCTATCGCTGGGAAAAACAGTCAGTGAAGCTTTTTATTTTTTTTATCATGACTAATACTGTTTAGGACTGGTGGCAGTGAGGATTTTAAACTACAGCAGGAGAACAAAAGTGTGAAGGGTATCTTAGAAGGGGAAGCTCCACACAGATTGTTCCTGATAGCTTAAGGCTGTGTTGGGCTGTGGTAAGAGCTGGTCCGGTCGACACATCTTTTGAACTCCCTACGTTCATTTCCGATTGTCCAGTCAGAGCCCTGTGACCCCACTCCAAACCCTTCGCCCAGACCTTTCCCTTTACCCTCCTTGTGCTGCTCCTCGCCCTACCCCCATAACCCCCTCCTCTCCAGCTACAGACCCACTCCCTCTTGAGCACCTCCTACAGGAGCTTTGAGGTAACGCACTACGGCAGCCCACATCGTAAACAGATCTTTGTTCAGGGCTAGAAATTAGGCCGGTAAAGTAGCAGCACAGCTCTTTCAAATTGTTATAACTGACACCAGAAGGGAGTTGGGCATTAATCAAAAGAGGTTCATTCAGTCTCCTTCTTTTTGTGATCGGCGTCGGCGAGATCCGGCTAGAAAATTCAGTTCTGGTTTATTAATGTTGTTGTGAGTGGCAAAGCAGAAAAACTTTGCTGCAGTAGTTCAACTCCCCACCTCCCCCCCCAGTTCTTACTTCTGTTAGCTGCTAGCAGAGAATATTAATGTCGCCAATTTTTCATGTCACGGTGTGCCATTTTCCCTGTGGCCAAGGTTAATTATCAGTCATTAAAAGATAAAAAAAAACCTTCTTCACTGCAGAGAAAAAAGTCCCCCAAACTGTTCCAATGAGTTAGAGGCTTATCGGCAGTGCTGCGGAACGCATCAGCTTGCAACAGGACCCATTGTGACCTTGATACAAACTGCAGAAAGGCAGCCATATTAAGCCACCATCTGGAGCTGATGGTGTGGGAATTGTAATTTTCTAATGCAGGCCGTTTGGTTCTTTGATAGCACTCAACAAGAGGCATCTCTACTATTTTTTAAACACTCTGTTGAAAGTTAAGAAATGAGCTGTGATTTGCACTGGGGGAGCTTTCATGTCCATGGTTTGGAAAATACTGGTCCAGTGGCTTGAAATCTTGGGCTTAATGAGCAGTTCTCGTTGTTTTAGGGGGCTTTTCTCTTTTTATTTCAAGACAGCCTGATGAGATTTTAAGAAATGTGGATTCCAGGTCCTGACAAGACTCGGGTGCAGGCTTCATGCCAATTTTGAGGCCAGCAATAAGAAGAATAATTAAAAGGTTGTTTTTCTTAGGCAAATATTTCACCCGTGGAGTGCTGATCTTGAATCAGTCACAGTTTTGAAGTGTGACCCATAGATATCCAAGGGATATGGGGATGCATTTATTCTTTAGCTACAAGTCTGTATTTTGCCTTGAATTGTGCAACTGCTTTATCTTGACGTCAGTTTTAGTTACAGTGTATACATTGGGAAAACACTAAATGACTCTGTGACGTCATAGCAGAAAATGGCAATGACTGAAGAGCAGGTAAATCAAACCCAGCTTTTCCTCAAAGTCGTTACATACCTTTAGGAATTCCAGAAATGAATGAGGCCCAGTCTGTAGAAGGTTAAAAAAAACTTCCTGTGGTGTGACTACCTGTGTTCATGCAACTTTAAGCTATTTCATTTGGCCATGAAACTTGGAGACTTCTTAAATAACGATAATAGCAGCTGTTGCTTCTCCACACCTGCTTCCTCGCAGATTTCGAAGTGTGAGTTGATGTTGGTCACAACCTGTGTCAGGTGAAGATTGTTCTACTACATAAACTAGTTACTGAAACTGTATATTGCCCTCCTGTTTCTTTCAAAGAGGCAACTCTAGCGGACTATCCCGTGCTGCAAAGCAGGTTCCCGATATCCTTTTCGCATGTTGTATCTTCCTTCTGAAATAGTCACCTAACCTTATGCATTCTTGGAAACGGTAATTGAGATGTGGAGGGGAAAGGGGGTTTTGTGAAATGTACAAAGCTGTGGAAAGCTGCCTTTAGTCAGATTTGCAGAGTTACCAGATCGTAGATACGTAGTCTATCGGAATGCCTCCAGATACATTCAGTGTAATGCCTTCTCTATGCTTAAAACAGTCCAAGCACAGTTGTCCTTGGTATTTCACTACAAGGGTAAAGGAATATGTAAAACATTTCATTCCAACAGCAAAACTTGTGGCTCGTCGTCTGCTGGCAAACATTTCCAAAGTGTTTTTGCAAAGTTCTTTAACAGAAGCCCTTCTCTCTAGGTAGGACCATTCCATCCCACCTGCGGAGTAATTGAAATCTCACCTGTGCTACAACGAAATTTAAAAATCCCCCCCACCTGCCCAAAATGAACGTTTCAGAGGTTTGTGGGGGGATAGATGTGTTGCTGGCACAAGGGCAGACCAAAGGCAATGATATTTAAGGTCGTTTGAAAAAATCGAGGAGTTCTGTCCAGTTAATTGGTACCACGATCAGTCCAGTGGATGACTTGAATGGGTGGGTCTTCCACACTCTGCTTGGAACGAGAAGCCTGGGGCTCCCACTGTTCGGTGCTTACTGCAGGGTTTATTGCTGTCTGCTGAAGACTTGTGCAGCCTTTTTACAATGATGTGAAATGAGATGCCAGATGCAGCTGGAGACCTATTTGAACACGTGTGAGGAAGTCCTTCTGTGTTAATGTTATCCTGGTCAAAATCTTACTTTAGCTAAAGATTTTCTAGGGCATACACTTATTCACGACAGTGTCAAGACTGTTTGAAAAAAAAAGGTTACGTTTTAAAGAGATGCCCGATAAAGAAGGCACCTTTTAAGTTTCAACACTAGATCTGTGAATTAGTGAAAGTAAGATCAAAGTGACTCTTCATATAGAGGTCACTCACTGTCACAGATCTTGAGGCATCTTGGATAATGGTAAGAAAAAATAATATCAGTGTTTCATTGTCAGAGCTTGTATTGTACAATTATGTGCTTATCATTACAATCTCTTATGTACTGAAGATATTTTTTTATTTTTTTATTTTTTGTTTCGGATGCTGAAGAAACTAAAAGATGAGATGTAAATTACATTTTCTCACATGGTCTTGGAAAATGTTTTCGCAATGTAAAAAAATGAAGCAGAAAATTATTTGTTGTAAAGTAGCAAATCAAAAACTGATAGCCATGGTCAATAACGTCTCTTAAAAAATGAGTCATGTGTTGTAAAGGAGGGGGATAAGGGAGGTTTGAGTTAGCACTTTGAGAGCAGATTCTCAAGAGATGTAAAGTCCTTTTTAACTATCCACCAAGCTTCCAAAAATGACTAGAATAAAAAACAGATGGCAGACTGATGTTCAGTTGCTGTCCTTGAACATTGAGTTAAACACATAAGTAAGAGCTCAAAGCTTAATTCTGCATTCCAGCTCAAGAATGTAGAGCTCTGCTTGTTTAATGATAAGAGCAGAAAGCTGAGGGGGTATTTTTAGAGGTGTTGAGCACAGGGTGGTTTATTGTTTGTATTTTGAAGGCTGATAAATCTGTCTTATCTCTTGACTGTTGCTGTGCCTCTGCTATAAGGCAGCCATGGGTAATTAGGCCAGACTCCTCCAGAGAGATGATTGTCCAGCACCTCATGTACAAAGCTGGTGTTGTGTCTTTTGATGTGAGTATCTCTCAGCATCCTCCAGTCTGGTGGTGCGATTTGACTGGGCCCTACTCCCAGCACTGGGCTCTTCCCAGTGATTCGCAGGCCTCTCTCCTTGGTTGCTTCTTTAGAAAGTCTTTTGCATGTAGAAAAGCAAGCAGTCACGCTTCAATGATGTTAACCGATGGCTTGTTGTTCTTAGGGAACTGCAGGGAAAATAAAAGAACAAGATTAGATACTTCAAAGTGGAAGGAAATCAACTTTAAAGATCAATAGTGACTACCTCGTTAGCCTCAGGGGTTAGCAAGGCATAGGAAGTTGTACAAATTGTTTTCAATATGTGTTTTGTGATTTAGAGAGAATATTTTCCTGTCAAATGAACTAATTGGTTTATATTGTCTGAAGAGAGCGAAAACACCTTATCTTATTGAAGGAAACAACATCTCTTTCCTGACACTGAATCTAACAAGTGATCATATTTTCTGTCATTTTGAACTACTGTATACTGGAAAAATGTATCTTAATGTAATTTCTGATGCTACGGTTCTCTCACTGAATGCAAAGAAACTTTCTTTTGATCTGTGTCATTGCTGAATGCTTAAAATGTTTAATGTTAACCATACAGTGCTTCTTTATTGGGGAAAAAATGACTAAAAGTTTAATTTCAGTGGATAAACTTAAATTCTGTATATAATTTCCCCCTCAAATTCTGAAGGTTTTATCTCTTTTTAGGACTTAAGCATTTTGTTTATATCATATGCTCCAGATATGCTTTTGTTATAAAAACTCTCCAGGGCCTTTTCATTTTTAGGTTTTGCTTTAAATATGTTGTAAGATCCTGAATAAACCAACATTTATTAAGTGTTTTGTTTAATTTTGAATGATCGTTAGGCAAGATCATCAACCATGTTTTGGGTATTTTTTTTCTTTAAAATCTAGCAATGTTCTGCATAATGGTGATAAGGAATTGGGATTTCAGGGTGATTAAGACTTTTATTATGTGTATATTCAATGGTTAAATGCATCAAGATAACATTTTTTATTTTTAAAAAATAAAATTCAATGCTAATCTTCAACTTGCTGCCTGTGGATGTAATATTTACTGTGATGTTAAAATAGAGGCTTTGCTGGAATGCTGGCTTTGCAAATATGACATTTTAATAACTCATTTATTCATTTCAGTGTTTTTTGTTTTGTTCTGTCCTAAAGCACTGGCTGTTGCTCAGCAGAATGAACGCACTCTCCAAAGCTTTAACAGAATATTGAGTGTCGGGTTCTTACATGGTAGCTATTTATCACACCAGGGACAGACAGTTGGTCTGGTGCACACAGAAGGAAAAGATATTGGGGTGTATGAAATGTAGGAATGGAACATTTTCACAGGAAGGATTTAAAGGCTTTTACCTTTGCCTGATGTGTGTGGTACTGGGATTATGTTTTGATCCTGAAAGTGCCTTCCAAAAGTATTGGAAAAAGAAAGGCAAAACTGTTATATTTGCTGTGCAGTGCAGCAATTTGCTTTTTCCACCATTATATCAATATAAATGCTATGTACAGCACAACAGTATGTCAATTTTACTTCATTTTTGGGTAATTCCTTGCATACTGTAAATATGACCATGTTAGAACAAAAACACACTATGTGTTTAATTGTGGTTTTACATGGCCATACAGTATGCATTGGGAACATTCACTTCAAATACATTTTTATTTACTATTAATTAAAAAGTTCATATTAATTTAATTAATTGAATTTAATATTAAATAAAAAACTAATATTTATTTCCAGCTCCTTGGCTGCATTGCCCTTATGTTTTGGGTGACTGTCCAGCTGAATGGTGAAGCATCTCCCAAGAGGCATAGAAGTGTTTTTGTTCTACAGGAGCGGACAGAATGTATCTGTACTCTTGCAAATTCATGCTGCCGTCGCCAGTATTAGTTATGTCATCCATAAAGAGGAATGTGTCACGTGGCACAGCACAGAAAGAGGTTTAGGGATGTTTGGCGTGAAGAGAGATCTCTGCTTTGTCCAGTTCCATCTCTCTTTCTCAGCGGCTTTCACACGAGATGATTAAGTGGGCACATTCTGTTTGGCATCAGAAGCATTTTGATCGCATTGGAAAACATCAGATTCACAGGTTCACCCACAACCCTGAAGGTCGTATTCCACGCTTCAAGCGCATGCCTCCTCACTGATACACGCATACAAACAGTTGCATGAGATTTGATCTGATTTGATTTTTATTTGTTATTTTGGAGCCTGACACATTGCAAAAGAATCGAGCAATGTCTGGATTAGAAGACTGAACCTCACTGTGGAAGCTGAGGGGTGAGACTCGGCTTATTGTGAAGATTTCTGACTTTTTGGGTCAGTCCATTTTCTTTTAACAGTTTTGCAAATTTGATCGAACAAGGTCAAAACCAAGAAAGGCATAATATTAGCTGTAAAATGGGTTTGACTTTAGGCAGTTCAGTACAAATGCAAGTTTTTTTAGCAACTAGCAAGTTGGTGCCTTTTAATTGAATCTTAAATAAAATTCAGTCTAGTAAGGTAGGGGCTTGTTATAATGGACATTTTGCAATGAAAATAGATTTTAACATCTGCAGATCGGGTATCTCAGGCTAATTCCGGCTACAATTTGAAAAACATACATGGAGGTGAAGAACAGGGATTCCCAGTCTTAGTCCTTGAGGTCCACACCCCCACGCCTGCTGGCTTTTCAGTCGAGCCACAGTCAAGCCGAAGTAGGATTCGTTTGAACTGTTCGATTGTTTTCAGCTCTGTTGTTGTTCGGCTCTGGTCTTTCAGCTCTTCATACCTGTAGCCATATCTTTACTTAACACTCGATTCTCTCTGCGAATATGGATGTGCATTGTTGTTTTCATTGTGTTTTTTTGTTCTGTCCATCTGCACTTTGCTGTAAAAACAAATTTAAAGAAAAAAAAAAGACTCTCCCTAAACATGCCATCTTGGCTGCCATCTAACGCTGGTATTTTCGTCAGTAAAATGGTGAAATACGAAGTAGAAAAGGGAACTTTCAAGTTCCTTACAGTCAAGCAGGTTAACTTATATGAAGTAATTAATCTGTGGGTCTCCCTAGGACTAGGATTGGGAACACCTGGTGTAGAAGACTATTTCCTTGTAACACATGTGAGTGAGGCGATGAGAGACGCTGTTCATGGGCTCGAACTGTATGATTCACCTGCCCTGGGCTGGGGGAGCCACTTATACCTTGCTGCGTAACAGACCCCCCGTGGGATGCTCTGGAGTGCTGCACTCAGACGAGTTCTTGGTTTTGTCCTTGTTGTTGTTCGGCTCGTTGTCCTTGATGATGTCATACTGCCGGCAGAACAAGGCTATTACTCCTGTGCCGGGGAATGAACAAACAAGAACCGGTTAGCTTGAACAGTGTATATACCCCGTTAGCCTACTGAAAATCTCCACTCGGCTATAACAGTGTGTTCTTTAAGGGTCAAACCTGTTTCCAGCTGCTGAACTGTATGATTCCTGGGAGCAGTGAATCTCCAACATACTTTGAAATATCTTTTCTTTTTATTTTATTATCTGTTCGTTCATTACTTGGGTTTTACTAAGTGGAGTGCTACATATTTGAACCACAAATATATATATTTATAGTCCGTTAAATCCTACCTTTATTTTTTTACACTGAAATAAAGTTGATGTTTGTTTGATTTTTATCCCTACATCTTGTTTCTTCCTGGGAAACAGTAAGAGGAATTCCATGATGGTACAGCCTTAGTTTGAATGCCAATTAGGTGCAAGAGTACTTAATATCATTGAAGAAATGTCTTTCAAGGGAGATTAGCCTTTTTTATATTCATAAAGGGTTTTTATATTGTTTCTCAAAATGAGACAGTTTCCTACAGCCTTGACTCATTGGCGGCTACTTTATTCTATGTGAAGTGCATTAAGGCTGGTAATTTTCAGTAGCAGCACAAACATGACAGGGACGTGGAAGCAAATCAGGAGAGACGACACGAGAACGCTTAGCGATTGTTTTGTTTGTTTGACTGTTGTGTGGTGGGGTCTGTCGCTGTGTGGAAGAGAGAGGGGAGGAGGCCCACACAGTAACTCACCGGCCCACATGACCAAGACGACCACAATGATGATGAGCTCCCCAGCTCTCAGCTGCGTGCTCTGCTTGCCCACTTCCTTCATTGTCACGTCATCTAGAAGAGACCGGGGAGCAGGCTGTGTTAACCACCAGCCTCTGCACAGCTAGGAGCAGCTCCTTCTCCTCTTTTAACACAGAACCACTGTAACGACTGTTGGTCCAGAGCGAGGAAAGCTGTTGCCAGAAAGATCCGTTCCATGAGGAACAACAGGCAGAGATCAATCGGGGACAAAAGACTGCTGCTTCTTTGTGAACACAGGGGTAGGCGTTATGAACATAAGGTCTACGACTGTACATGGGATTGTTTGACCCATATTGTTTGTAAGGTTGCTGGTAGCTAATCTGAGAATCATCATTTACTTCTTGAAGGATCTCAGGAAATCTACTACTGCAATATGTAGGGGCATATTATTCCAAAGATCCACCATATATCTTCTAATTATTCGCTGTTAAATCCACTCTCGCTTTGAGTGTGGGCCAGTGTCGAGTTGGTGGCCACATACAATATAAGTAGCTAGAGCTCATCCCTGCGAGGCAGTCTACTCAGTTGACCTAATGACTCACAGAATCTCATCTGTAAGAAAGAAGAATTCACACAAATTGCTGACTTTCCAGTATTTTTCTGTGGCGAAGTGCTGTGAACCTTTCCAGCATAGTTTCAAGTGCTGCGCCATCGGGCTACACTGACAGTCTCTGAATGTGGTTCAGTGGTGTATGAAAATCACAGTCCATTGCAACAGAAGTTCATGGTGATCTTATCTAGAGGGTCCCAGCATTGTTAGATTGTTATCTCATTTAATTTGTGGATGTTCTATGTTTTTTTTAACTAAAACTGATTTTGCTCTTTGATATTTTGATTTTTGCAATATACAATGCCTACAAATCAGCAGATCATTGTTTATATAAAGTCTCAAATATTTGCATGCTCATTGTATCATCTATGTTTAAGATACTAAGATTTTATTTTAAATAAACTTTAAATGTAAATGTACACAGCTCATAAAAGATCCTTGACTGCTGTTTTTGTCCAGGAAAACTGGAGTAAGCACGTTGCATGTGACCATTTTAATTAGTACAGTATATTAGGGCTGTGATAGTATAAAGGTTAATGTCTGTATAATTAGCTGACATATTCAAGCTCCTTTTTTTCAAGTAATTTCTGAGAAAGAAGGTCATTTTTGTCAGCCTTTAGATAAAGATGCCTGAAGTATGAGGATCTCTGTAACTATAATTAAAATAATGTGTAGCATTCCTTAAAAGAGAGAGAATAAAGTGACTGAAAAAGGAAGGAAACACATGCAGTTCCCTTTTTATTTGGAAGATCTAGGTTTACACTCAGGAAAAGCCATTCTCTTTTATTTCCTGCAATCAGTTCATCTGTTTTCCTGCATTATTAAAAGGCTGAGGTTAGTTAGTAAAAAAAATTCTGCTGCAGCAGGCTAAACCCTTACTATTTTATGAACATAAACCCCTGGGAAATATGGAAGTTCTAATGTTTTTTTTTTATCCACCACAGTTCTCATTTGTACCCTTAAGTAACATAATACAGTAATTATGACACTTTGCAAGTATGATGTTTCAGTTTCCTGTTTTATCAATGCATGATCTCCTGGTGTTTGGATTTGCTTTCTGACGCAGACACTTCTTGTATGTAGGAAACTTTGTGACAGTTCCGTCCCGAGGAGCCTGAATATTTAATACATCATTAACTTAAAATGGAGATAGCGCTCTTTTGTGTCCTCCAAACCCGAATTAAAGCATCATTTACCTCAGACTAGAAGGTGGACTTACAAGGGATATATGACTGAAATAATGCCTAGGGGTCTTTTAGAAAAATCATAGTGCAGAAGAAAATTGACATGCTTCTTATTAACACTCAATCAGCTGCTTTTTCAGTCCTTTGGGCTTGACATTCTGGATACTGAAATGATGTGTAAGCCATCCTTTAACAGGGATGATTAACCGGGTTGTTTCTATAGTATACAATGCCTTGCAAAAAGCTTTAAAACCATTTTGTAGTTCTTACATTTTGTTGCTTCATAGCTTGTGGTCAAGATAGTTGTTAGGTACACAACCAAGGCAATGCATTCAAAGCAAAAAAAAACACAGAAAGAAATCAGTAAATAGATAATTAATATAAAAAAAGGAAGTTATGATTGCATAAGTACTCAAACCCTTTGCTGTGGCAAACCTAAATTAATTTTGATGCACATAATTACCCTAATGAGCCACACAATTAGTTGAGTGGCCTCTGTCTGTGTGCAATAATGGTTCAGAATAAATACAAATGTCTCTGAAAGGTCCCTCAGTCGGGCAGTGAATTTCAAGCAAAGATTTAACCATGAAGACCAAGGGAACTCTTTGAGACAAGTCTGCAGTTCAAGCATTCAGGCTCAGAGTAAAATGGTGAGTTTAAAAAAAGCGTATGTATTTCACAAAATGGGACACCAGGAGAAGGGTCTGAATTATTTTTGTAAGGCACTATATAGAAAACAATTCATAATAAGAAACCTTTAACCAAGCCTCATAATCTATGACAAACCTTTTCATAAATTCATCCCTTTAAACATTTTGGCGTTTTACTAAATGCATTGATTTTGTAAAGAAGGGAATGTTATTATGTTTAGAACCACTTGTTGGGACAGACTATCAATACCCCATGTTGGATAAAAGCAGTTAGAAAGTGGATGGATGTACATAATTGCCAGTTAGATATTTGTGTGATTTTTTTTTTCTTTTGTGGGGAATTGGATTGAGTAGAATTCTCACTGATCAGCTCGAGCCACTTATGTGTGGCCACTGGCTCACACTCAGAGTCAGCATTGTGAGAGTGGATTTAACAGCGAACAGTGAGGAGACTTGTGGTCCTGATTTCTAAGCTGCCTGCTGTTACGCTGCTTTGGTTAAACACTCCTGTGTGCCCTTTGCCTGACTCTAGGCTCTAGTCTAGCCTATGGGCACTGAGGCAACACGAAAACAGCCCAGCAAAGCTTAAAGCGTATTCCTTGAGCAGGGAGCTACTGTCAGAGCAGCTCAACTACAAGACCTTCAGTTGATGCTGGAAACTGATCAAGTGTAAAAAATAAAGAAATTGTCTTGTCCGGGTTTTGTAGCCTCCTCCTGACCCCAGACCACCAGCACCACTGCGCCCCCCAGAGGTCTCTGGAGTCCCCCTGTTTTCTGTTATTCTTTTTCATCTCGTTCAGAAATTAGTCTTTCTTTATCTGATACTGTGGAGGGAAGAAACTGAAGAGGCTGGTGTCGTGCAGGCATATTTCCCATGAATCCCTGCCGATTTCACAGCAATCTCATCCTGCTGCTTTTTTCCCTTCTTATCTAGAGCTCACTAATACATTTTAACGATCTCGGGGCCAGATCTTTCATTAGCAGTCACACCTCAGGCCCTGCGGGGTGAAGGAATCCTATTCCTGTCACACCCGGTGAGGAATTAAATACAGAGCAGATTCATGGAGGCTTTGACAAATAGACTTTCCCTAAAAGCTAATCTTTTCTCATCTTTTCTCCATTCCTGCGAGAGTTCCAAGAGGAAACCGAACCAAAGAGATTCATTAAACTAATGCAATTAAATTCCTTAAAAAAGTTGAAAAACTGTGGCCTCATGAAGAGGTACAGCAACATGTTTATTTAGTCCATGGCAACTCTCAAGCTCAGACTCTGCTGTCTTGTAATAATTACTGTTTAAGACAAAATAAACTTCGTACAGCTTCTTACATCCCTTTTCTGACATTACACAGAAACAGTGCCAGTCCAGCAGTAATGCATTGACAACTGAAAAAGGCATAAACAATACATATTCAATATTGTCCCTCGTGATAATAAGCTTATATAATTGTTGCTGTTGCAGTTTAATTTGTGAGCAACATTTACGGGCTCCTGATAATTAAATAATTTGTCTAATGAATACCTAGTCCTCAGACCTGCAAGTGTGTCTCATGGTTATGCATTTTTTTTTCATTGGTATATTTTACACGTTATTCACGATTCATTACATAGGCTGGTGGAACACACAGAGGACGACTGGAGGTTCTGATTTTAGTTATGATTAAGTCAAACTGATGGCCAATGAGCTGAACTGGGTTGGAGTGATGGGGCAAGACTGTTTGGGTGTCAGAGGCAGAGATCCAAGGATTTTGTCCCGATCTTTTTGAAAGATCTGCCTCAAGATTGGAACGTTGTAATTTGCTCCTGACATGCATGGCTGTTCATGTTAAGAGGTGCTCCTGGGGATTCTGAGAGGCTCAGACTGGAGCAAGAAGAAGTTCTTGCTCAGAATACGGCCAGAGTTGGGTGGCTAGGTCATGTCACTAGCCAAATGTGACTGGGATTTCAAGGTTGGTGCACCATCCCGTACCTCCCGTGCTCTCAGCTTTCAGAAAAACAGCAGTTTCTGTGACTTATCAAGAATCTGCAGACTGCTGCCATGTCAGTGAGGCATCCTGCTCCTCCAATCAAAGCTGACTCTCCAGAACACAGACGGCCGCATGTAAAAGGGTTCGTGGCTCCAGCAGGTGGTTGTGGGAAGAACATATCTGTCTGTTCTAACTTTCTTGTCGCCTTGCCATTCCTGGCAGGACTAAGTGCCATTACTCTCATAATCCTGTGCTCAAGACCACCAGATGTTCCACTGATTGGGCAACTAATTGAACTTATTTGGCATTTTACCATCTATAACAGGTTAAGGTTTGTATTTCCAAAAATTGAGAATTGTTAATAGTTAAATCGTTAAACCACATTGCGAGCACTGGGACCACAAAGGCTGTCACCTCACATACGTGTACAGAATGTGTATACGTTCTCTTCATCCATTTTTTGATCCTCCACTTGCTCAAGTTCAGTTACTTTGGATTACATATTGCAAGGGGACCAATTATTAAGCTTTTTTTTTGTACTGTAGGCTCACGGGAAGATGTTGCACATACCTTCTGATGAAAGTCAAACTGAAATTGAGATGTTGAACATCCCTCTTTAACTGCGTCTTTTGAAAGTGCTTGATGAATTCTTTGTAGTATCTCCCTGTACTTGAAATATGAAAAGGTGGCATGAACAAGCAAAGGGAGCTGTTTGGCACACGGACTGCTGTGCTCTGCCAATGAGGGTGCTTGTGAACAGCTCTCTCCTGGAGTACTGATCAGCCTGTCTGCCTGACGGTACTGGGAGCTGAGCTACCAAAGGGGTGCTTGGTTTGTACCCTGGCAGCTGAAGAGGGACATTCATCATCTTGACAAGGCAAAAACAGTTGTTGACACACGACAAATGATTTATCAAGCCGGGTCAGGTGAAAGTAAGAACAAATCATATACTGCACATGGGAAGAAGCTCAGTGCAATTCAGTCAGGACATTTCATTGAATGCAAAATGTATATGGTTTTTCAAGGCATCGTGGCTAGGAAGAGTGCTCTTTTAGCTTCAGAATTCTCCCCTTTTTGCCTACCGTCCAGAGCATAATGCTAGTTAATTTACTAATATGGCAATCTCACAACTCAATCAATAAACTATGGGGATTATGTTTTTAAATGCAGGTTTTTATTTTCCAGACCCCAGAAGAAAGCTGACATCAAGTACTGGAACTGTAATTTGTGATGGTTGGGTGTAACAGTGATTAGAAAATCTGAATTTAAGATACACCGATTCTAATTTATGTCATAAGCAGCAAAACCTTGACATAATTCTTTCAAATGAGGCTAGAGTGTTTCCCAGCTGTTGTGTATTAAAAATAAAAGGGCTCTACAGACATCATTTGGAGCGAAAATGCACTGCTTCTAGGAGGCCATCAGACTGGGCACCTTTCAGGAATGATACAGTAGTTGTTCACAAAGTGCTGAACACACTGCTCGCTAGCTTTCTACAGGGCACAGGGAATTAGACATTTTAAATGCTAATGCCATTTTGGAAACTTGTTGTGACTGTTTCCTCATAGACTTTCTAATGCTGACTGGGTGCTGTGTTTGGTGATTGATCTTCGTGTAGGGAGCATTTGCATGGCATCTAGCATCCTTCTGTTGTCCGTTTTGGGAAATCTGATTTTGAAACAGCCACATCTTAAAATAGTGTAATAGTTATGGAAGCAATGGAGAAACCTTGTGTTTTTTACTGACTGTAACTTCAGTGCGGATTGATTGTGCAGGTTCTAGGATAACTGGAATGGAGAAAAACTGCCTGCTAACCATCGGTACCATTAAACAAGAGCCTTGACACCTAGGAAGTCATTACCTTTGACTTAGACAATACAAAAATGTCCAGTGTAATCAACTTTACTGTATATTCAGCTTTAAAGAAGGTGAGCAATCTTCCCAAGCATTAAAATTTCTTCTCACCTTCAAAATGTGCATGTAAAGGTAGAACAGAAGCAAGGTTACTAATAATTTGTAACTAATAAGGTTGTTTGGATCACCTTGCTTGTTTGGTTGATTTTGGTCAGTGAACCTTGTCAAATTTCTTGTGACTTAGCGTCCTTTGTGTCTCCCTTACAAGCACTTTGCTTTCTACAAAGGAATTTCGTAACTCAATTGAACGGTTTAGCTTGGGTTTCTGCTGTTTGAGGAGACCCAGGCACATGGTGCTTGCCTGATATCTAAAAACACACTCCTTGGCATTCTAGGAACAAAGAAAAAAAAACACCTCCATTACCTTTGCTCTTGGAGGCCAGTTTTTCTGCTTCTTTTGGCGTTCTGAAGAGGACGGGGTCACTGGCTGGGCTGGGTCCACTCACGCTGATGGACTGGACGTGCACAATATATTCCGTGTCCTCTTCTAGGTCCCAGAGAGCACAGGAGTGGGTGGTGGTGTTCACCTCCTGAATGAACCTCAGCATTCGCACATCCTTCTTCTGTAGACACACGGGCAACAGTGGTGTTAGCTGTGGGATTTGGGCCTAATTTTGTGTTTAAGTTGGATACTCAGTGTAAAGTTCAGTCTGTGGTTCCCCCTCGTTCCAATTAGCATTGGATGCTTTTGAGGTTTACAGATTTGTGGTTTGTAGGGCTACAATGCTAGGTGTAACGTTAGAAAAGCAATCTTTCTCACATGTGAAATTCTCTACATCTTGATGGCCCAACCTCTGTTGCTGTCTAAAGTCTTCCTATTATTCTGTTGTTCTCACATGCTTATTATTTCCATCACTATTGATTTTTTGTTTTTGTGTGGAAATTATGCTCTTGTTAATTAGGCTTAACAAGAGATCACATTTGGTCACAGTTCTATTAATAATGGAAACTTTTTGTGTATCACTGTAAATAAATCAATTTATGAACACCACTTAAATGTGTGGAGATACATCATCTAGTGTGAGTGCAAGTTCTGACTAGGGCCCAGGGTGAAGTCCATGCATTACAGTGAAGTAAGCAGAAGAAGCAGAAGCACTCAAGCTTCTCCCAGTGGTTCCATTGTAATTATGGACTTTTTACTTGATAAATTCTTTCTTGTCACCTAGTGAAACTAGTATGACACTTGAATAGCCTCATTTCACTTATGGAATTCTTGTGGGCCTTGGTATTGCTAATTACACTATTTTCAAGGGTAAATAAAGGGTGATGCTTAAGAGGGACACACAGTTACAAACATCATCTATTTGTGCTATAGGGAAGCGAAGAGACCTTTATCATCATTTATTAACTGCAAGTGTTAATGTCTAAACCTGCCATTTGTTAAGCAGTCGAAGATTGAAAAAGGCAGAGCTCAGCACAGCTGTAGCTTTGATTGACTTGGATTAAGTTCTTTAGAAGCATTATTCAAGCGATCCTTGAGAGACATGAAACCCTGCAGCGTGTGCTAGTTTTTGTTTTGGCTCGGTGTATCTTATAACACCGGCTCCTGAGTCACCTAATTGTGACAGAAACTCTGCAACACCTTGGAGTGCTGCACAGCTGGTTTTTAAAGATGAGAGAGTACTGTAGCTGTATCATCGCTAATTGACACGTCTGGCTGTATGGCTAACTGAAGAAAACAAACATATCAGTTTTCCTAACAGTTTTTAAGTGTTGGCCAATTAGAGGCAATACTTTTGGATGTGTGGACCAGGGATTTAGATAAAGGACAGTTTTCTCATGGATTACACATCTCCCCTGGCTCCACCACTTATGAAATTTGTACTATGGTGTTCCATTGTAAAAGCAGAGTCAGGTTTAGTAAAGCACAGTGAAATCCTGGTAATAGAATGGTAAATAATAGGTTATGGTAAAGCTTAAGTAACCAGGTTAAGTAAAAGGTAAAACCATAGAGAACTTAGGGACCCACCCCCTTTTTGGGGGGATTCATGCAAACATTATAGTGTTAACAAAGTGAATTGCTTGTGCATGGATAATGTTCACAAGAAGCCAATCATTTCCTCTAATGATTGCTGTCATGCAAAGTGGCATTCCAGGAACAAGAGCCCAATTCCCGACTGAGATGTGCGAGATGGCAGCATCTTTTTAGCCCTCAAGCGTCTTCCTTGTCAGTTTTGCATTCCCATCAGAGGCTAATTGGAAACAGCAGGAGTGTTTAGATCACAGGCTTCTGATCCTGGCTGCACGCTCCTACCTGCTGGGAGATGGCGAAGCCGATGACAATGTCTCCCTCTGGAATGTCCCATGTCACCACTGCGGAATTGGCCTTCAGTGCTTTGATTGTGACATTGACGGGGGCCATCAGGCTGTCTGAACCAGCAAGAGAGAGAAACAAGAGAAACAAGCAGAAGGAGGAACAGATCAATGAACTGTTCTCTGTTGTTTTTTCTGAATGATCCACCAGAGGGGATGTTTATATAGAGGCAATAGCTCCAAAAACTCCAGACTTTTGATCTTTCTGCAGTTTATCATTTTATTTTTAAAGATTCTGCTACAAAAAACGAAACTATCAAACAGACTAGATGAACCGAATGGCCTTCTCTCGTTTGTAACCCTTTCTGTGTTCTGGTTTCAAGGTGAACCGAGTGGTTCGGATGTGGTCAAATGTCTGTTGGAAGGATTGCTTCCACGCCTGAAAATGTCTGACCAGAAGTGGATGTACTAATGCAGTGTTATTTTATTTCACCATGTAGATGACACACATGTCATTTAATTTGGTACTGTCTGCTTTAAATTGCACAGGGAAATAACAGCATGACATGTGACCTGTTTTACTTGTGGATGTGTCTGGCTTAAAGTAAAGGAAATTCAAGATAAAATAGTGAATCAACCAGCCAGAGTGTACCTGTAAACAAAGAAACAGAGCCAGTTGCTATATTATTTAAAACACAGCATCTCTAACAATGATAAAAAGAAATGTAATTCTGTTACTTATTCAAACTGCCTTTAATGAGATTTTCTTGCAGTCACCTCAGGTAAGGTCTGCCTGTAAATTGTGCAGATCTTCAGATCATTTCATTGTATTTCAGAACAGAGCTATTGATATTATTTTCACCTGCTCCACATTTCGTTTCCCAGGGAATTATATTAGAGATTATTTGCACAAACATACTATTGTTATTGTACACTATCTGTCCCTCGATATGTTCCTGTTTAAAAAGACATCCATAGGAAAGTCCTTCACAATAGCCTTGTGTGAAAGATTTCACCTGAAAAGAGCACCAACAGGAATAAAGCAGCCAGGTTTCCTGCGGACCAGCATTCTGCAAATTGAGCAAGGACTGGTTGTACTATCTAGCTCACAACATTTGCCTTCGTCGCCTACTTTCATTGCATGCCATTTTAAAAGCTGCTTTCATGATTAAACATCCTTTCAGGACTACAGTATTTGTGCACATCATAGACTGAGCCTGAACGTGGCAATTTGTTTTCTGTCTGTATCATGGATTTCTCCCCAGAGTCACTCAGTGCAGACGGCTTACAGTATCACCTTGTGTGATTTACTCCTTGTGTGAAGTGATCATCCTACGGCTTAGGCCGTAGGCGTCTCTTGTAATAAACAAGCTTCAGTAAAGAGAGCTTATCTGGACATTCCCATCTGTTTTTGGTCCTCTTTTCTAAATCAAGGAGGCAGGCGCCCTCTCAGAAGAGCGACAGAGAAAGCAAGGGTGTGTAAGAAATGTTTCAAAACTAGGTTTTGTGATGCTACTGTAACTGGGAATAGCATTTACAGATCAGGTATATACAGTACTGTATTTGGTATTCAAATATATTCTTATATATATTTATCATACATCTCGAATTTCGAGGAGGCTACCTCACCGGAAATACAAGTTTGACGGGAAGTCAGAGATGGGGTTTCAGAGCCTGTATCCAGGGCTGCTCAAGGCCTGATTCCAGCTGTAACTCTGTAATTGTCAAACCATGGGGAAGGGCGGTAGGCTGCAGGCTCCGACACACGGCTGGCGGGTTTCAAGAAGAGATGCACTACAGTGCATACAGTACAGAGTGCTTCACGCAGGGGGTGAGACTGACATGGGAAGAGCTGATGACACATGGTCTGCGTGAAAACACGCTGTTTGCTGCATATTCATTTTAAAGACAGCCGTAAACTGTGTGAGTCAGCCCAATATTCCCTTCTAGGGGGCCGCAGGGGTGAGTGGATCAGGTTCCTGCGTTTGGTGTGAAAAGCTCCTAAAGAAATCTCCTTTCTCTCATCAGAGTGTTCCTGTATCTCTTCATCTTACATCTGACCTCTAATTCTTTATTACCCCTTTTCAAGAAGAATCTGCTTATTCTTTTTCTTCTTTGCTTTTAAGGGAAACCATTTGCTCCATCTACTGGATGTCTGCATTCTACCCTGTTTCCCTAGGAGAGAAAACATATTCGTAATGCAGTGTATTGCATTCTGCCGTCAGTATACGTTACAAATTGAACAGAAAAGTTCTTAAGTGTTTTCTTCATCAGAACTCAAGTTGACTACAAAGAACTGTACGTTAAGACCACACTAAAATTCTTCATTTTCCTAAATATGTTGACGTGGGGCTGAGGTTTGAGCTAGAAAAACAGATATCGGCTTCGGGAAAGGATGTAAGGAAAGGTGGAAAACTCTGGAAGGATGAGGTTGTGGGAACACTACCCCACAGCTGCAAGGGCAGAGACAGGAGGGAGTGTTGTGAAACGAGCAGGAGACTGAGCAATAAGCTCGCTGAAGGTTAGGGTTTGATTTCCTCCCGGACTTTCAATTTTAACTGCATGAACTCCACCCGTACTCCAGTGTACACACACTCTGGGCTTGATTGGATTTTGTTTTCATTTCTTCAGATTTTCTAAATGGAATGGTAGCAAATCTGGTGTCACTTAGAAATAGGGGTGAGAGCTCCTGAATTGAGTTTATGTATTAAGCAGAGTGGCATTTCCAGAACTCTCCCATGTAAGAAGTCTTTCTGTAGCACAGAATGCTTTCCATTCTCTGCTTTTAGTACAGCACATAAAGCAAACCTCTCATATTAGCGCTTTAGAAATAACATCATCACACTGAAAGATCAAAACCGCATGCCCTAGTGATCTTAATAAAACAGTAATGCATTATTGATGAGGGACTAGAAACCAGGTCAAAGGGGGGTTATTTTAAAGATTGATAAAGAGCTGGGAATGTCGAGACAGCAGATCCTCGTTTTCTCAAACCCCTGATAAATCAACCACAAGAAAGAGAACCGTGGAAATTAAAACAGCAATGGGAAGATATTTTTGGAAAACATGCCGATGTTATGAGGGACAGGAATAACTGAGAGATCTGGCAAAGCGTTTTGCATTCTTTGTAAGTTATGGCCTTGATTAAGTTACCCTCAGGCCCAAATTTAAATTCCCCCAAATCCACAGTGATGTTTACCCTGGAATCAGACTTTCCAGTTGCTATATAAAGTAATACTTCTGTGATTCCAAAGAAGTCTTCTGCTGACATGGTAGAGGATGCAGATTTAAGATGGAGTGTTTTATCAATGTCACAGTGAACAGCAGATGGAATTATACCCTGACTGTATGAAGCCCTGTTGTGCGAGCAAGTTTATTTTTACAGATGATGTTAACGGTCAGGAGAGACGGGGATAAATCTGGGAGGTAATAATGGGAAAGGGGGGGTGGGAAAACCTGGCAGAATACTGCTGTTAGAAAAGCAGAGATGGCTAAAGCTGTTATGTTTTTTAAAATAAGTAGAATCCACTATTTGTTCTGTCGGGTCAGTGTGGATTATATGAAGATGGTTCATTGTGCTCCACTGTTGCTGGTGCTTGCCTTTTCTCCAGGCTTAGGTTTTAAATGCCCTTGAGGGCTGTCCAAGATGACATTCTTGATCATAGCACAGTAACCACAAGCAACCAAAGAAGGCAAAATGTACACTCTAGACATCACAGACCATGGACAGCAGGGCCAGTTTTCCCAGAAGTCATTTATCCTACCAGCATGTCTTTGAACTGAGGGAGGAAACTGGAGCACCTGGAGGAAACCCACACAAACATGGGGGAGAACATGCAACCCTCTGGAACTGGTTCCAGGGCCCCCAGCTTTGTGAGGCAGCAACGCTAACCTCTGTGCCAGTGTGCCACCCTCTCATAAAGGCAAAAAAAATGAAAATAGGTTTTGGATTTCTAAATGAGATGCGTAATAATCAATCCAATCTGTGAGCATGTCTACAAACTGGATCCACTTCAGTTGACCTGTGATGCTTCATTTATTTCTTTGTGTGCTCACGTGTTTTTTACAGATTCCTAAGAACACAGTGTGAGGGAGATGTGCAAGGTACTGCAGGTCGCTTTCTAATTAATTCTGGATTGAGCTAATTACCACATATTAATGAGATTAAAGTCATGCACCTCTGGGGACGTGTGTCTGAAGAAACAAATGAATGAGCAGAAACGTCTCATACTAATTCATGATGACTATAACCTCCTTAAGGAAAACAAATCTGTCTGACAACAAGCAGTTTATTCATGGCCTCTTGGAGATATATTCATTTCTGCGTTAGTATCGTAAATTTAAACTTACTCTCACAGTTCATCTGCAAAGCTCTGTAAATTCTCCACAGCAACCCTAGTAGGTGCCTTAAAGGACAGTATGTAATGAGGGCCTGTATTTGCATATTGCAAAAAAAGTCATTTTTGCATTACACGCATGAATGGTGCACTGAAGAAAACAATTGTGTTTTGATTGCTTTTCAGATGCATCAAATCTTAATGTAGGACCTGTGATAATGGCTAAGAATCCAATCTTAGCTGTAGTCATGTGCCCCAGGAGTACAACACTCTGTGGAGAAAATCCTAGCTCGCTTCCCACTGGGATTCCTATTTCTAATTGATCTAATTATAACCTGCTGAGAAACATAAGAAGTTTTTTTTGTGCTTGAAAAAACTTCTACTAACTTTCGGTCCTGTCTTTGCACAGGGCTGTGCAGAGTGGCTCTTAGACAAAGAAATACTGCTGAACGGAGGCAGTGAAATATGATTGATGGTTGTGACGGAGCTAATTATAGTATTTGCTGAAAAAATGAAGCCAATCTGTTATGGCATCAACCAAGCAAAACCGAAGCACAGGACAGTGAAAGAAATTGGTTTGAGGAACAAACTGTAACAGACCAGCTCTCTCAGAGCTGTCAGTGTCAGTTTCAGCCACCAGGGGGCGAGTTAAGGGCAATCTAGAAGAAACAGTGCCAGTATGTGCATGGGGTTGTGAGAGAGGAATCTAATGCAGCTTGGGCTGGTGTGTAATGACCACAAGGTTAAGTGTCTAGTCTGAGGATGGTCTCATGGTCAGAC